TCTCTTTGCGTTTTTTTCTCTCTCTCCACAGCCCAACACCTTTAAGATCAAACTCATAGTCCCACCTCCTCCAGGAAGTCTTCCCTGATTCCCCCAGCCCATCTAGTTCAGAACTCTTAATTTTATATATGGGGTAAGTGAGCAGAGCTGGAAATAGCAGATAAACTGGAAGGAAACCCTGGGAAGAGAAATCAAAGTGAGAACCTGGATCTCAATAGTCCCAGGAATGTGGTCCCTAAGGGGGAGAGAGACCCCCAGCTGCTGAGATCCAGCCCCTGGGATACTCAGACCCACATCTTTACAAAAGTGGCCCTCACTGGGGAAGGGATCAGCACAGGAGGGGCTGGGTGGTTCCTCTTGCAGAGACGTTTATACAGAATGCAGACTCTGGACGATCTGAATTCAAATCCTGCCTCTTGTATTTGCTAGCTTTGTGACCCCCAGGCAGGTCATTTAACTGCTCTTAGCCTTGGTTTCCTCATCTATAAAATGAGATAATAATAGCACTTCTCAGCATTGCCGTTAAGCTCAAGTTAATATAAAGAGCTTTGTAAAATTTAAAGTACTATATAAATGTGAACTATTATTACTGAATGAATTAGGGAGAGACTGTCAACATCTGTGCTGGTGGATGAAGGGAGGCCTGCCTGCCTTTCCAGCATCATCATGTGCTTGTGTATGTATATACATAGATTTATGAATATAACATGTTGCACACAAATAGACACATATGTGTTTGCATGTAACACACATGTAGTGGTACCTCTCTGTCCTAAGGGCATAGATTTCAGAGGTGGAAGGTACCTCAAGTCATCTAGTCCCATGTCTCTCATTTTACAGTTGAGGACACTGAGGCCCAGAGATGTTAAATGTCTTGCCAAAGGTCACACAGATAGTATTGAGCCAGGATTTGAACTCAGGTCTTTTGGCTCCAAATCCAGCATGCCTTTCACTGAACTTCAATACCTCCCCAGTTAATAAAGGATCCTTTAAAGCAAAGCAGAGCAACAGCACAGACCAAGAGAAGCATCTAAATGTGAGAAAGCAGCAGGCGGTTTTTTTCCTTCTGGCACGTGACTGAGGTTGCTGGCTTGCTGCCCCACGGCTCCACTGTCCTGCCTTGCCGGGTGTGGGAGCACAGGCCTGCCAGTGAGGCAGCGGAGGCTGGTGGAAACAATGCTGGTTTTGAGTCCGGCGATTCGGGTTTGAATCTGTACTCCACCACCCGAGTGCCTGGCCATGTCACTGAGAAGTAATCAGGTTGGGTGACATACCCTCTAAAGTCCCTTCCAGCTCTGCATCTCTAATCTTAGGAGGCCACAGAGATCCTAGGAAGGATGGGTGTTTGTTGGAAGCTAGTGGATAGAGTGCTGGAACCTCTGTCAGGAAGATCTGAGTTCAAGGTCAGTCTCAGACACTGCTAGCTGTGTGACCTTGGGCAAGTCACTTAACCTTGCTCATCTATAAAATGGGGATAATACTAACAGCACCTTCTTCCTGGGGTTGTTGTGAGGACCAAAGGAGATAATATTTGTAAAGCGTTTTGCAAACCTAAAATGCTATATGAATGCTAGCTGTTATTATCCCCATTGAAAAAGTTCCCCTTTTCAGTTAGCTTCCCAAGGGAGATTTAGGGGATATGTCCAAGGTCCCTATTCTTTTCTCTCCAGAATCCAGCCCCTTTCCCACTTAGACTAAGAATCATTGAGGGGTAAGGAGCACGTCTGGCTGGTTGTCCCTGTGTCAGGTGCTAAGAGAAGCCCTGGCTAAAGGGGACATAGCTCCTTAACCTGAGGGCCCCCCAGTCTGACATCCTGGGTTCTAAGGGCCCTCCCAACTCTGACATCCTGGGTTCTAAGGGCCTTCCCAGCTCTGACATCCTGGGTTCTAAGGGCCCCCAAGCTCTGACATCCTGAGTTCTAAGGGCCCCCCAGCTCTGACATCCTGTGCTCTAAGGGCCCTCCCAGCTCTGACTTTCTGGGAGAAGTTCTCTGATGCCAGATGAGAGCTGGCTGATAGGGATTTGCATAGATAGGGGAGGGCATTCCAGCGGGAGGGGATTCGTACTATGGACCATGTGGAGGCAGGAATGAATTCTGGTTGCACTTTAGAAACTGCAAGCTACCCCTTTCCCCTCCTCCTTGCCCCTGGGCCAGTTCCTTCCAAGTAAAGGAAAGTGGGATCTGTCTGCAGTCCCAGCCCTGCTCCCTTCCCCAAAATAGCTTCTGTGTAAAAGGAGCCCTCAGGACCCAGGGCCTCCCACTTGTGCTCCCTTGTCAGTAGAAGAGACAGATGGGGGTTGGGGGGTGGGGAGCTGCTCCGGCCTGGGGCTGGAGGGTAAACTAGGCCTGCAGGAACCCCTGGAAATAGCCAGGCAGAGACCCCAGAGCTTCCTCCCAGAAGGTACTGGTGGCTTTGGGCAAATGTGCCCTCCCCAGCTCTGGTACACCTTAGCTGTCTTGGCAGTCTGCCCGCTAAGCATTTCCTGACGACCTCCCAAATGTTCTCGGCCTGTCCCAGGGTCTGGGGAGAAGATAGATGAAAAAACCAAGGCAGTTTGGTGTAGTGGAGAGAGCCTTGGTACTAAGAGCTGACAGATACCTTAGTGGTGATGGGGATCCTGGGGAAACAGAATTCGAACCCAGCACTCCGCACTCGGTGAACTTTCCATTACTTTCTTGGCTCCTTGTGGCAAGTATTTTTATTCTTATTTTATAGATTGGGAGATGGAGAATCTGAGAAATTTAGTAAATTGCCTAAGAGCATGCAATGAGGCTCACCGTGCCACGAAGCCTCAAAGGAGTTGAGAGACCCATGCTCTAGTTTCAACTCCACCACTGAGGTGCTTTTTGAGAATGAGCAAGTTACATCTCCTGTTTGGGCCTCCGTTTACCTACCTGTAAAATGAGAGAGTTGAACTAGACAATCTCTAAGGGATCTCCCAACTGTGACATTCTGGGGCCTTCCCAGCTCTGACATTCTCAGTTCCAAGGAGTCTCCTAGAACTGCTGTCCTACACTTTCAAGTTCCTGTGAGCTCTGTTGCAGCCAACCTAGCCTCTGTCTCTTCCCTACATACAACACTCCACCTCTCCTGTCTGTGTCTTTGACATGCTTTCTGTTCCCTAGGGGCTTTCTTCCTCCCCTGCCTCCCACACAAGGCCTTTCCTGATCCTGCTTCCCACTTGTCAGAACTCTATCCTTCCCTCCTGAAATTACTTGGTATTTTACTTATGTGTATGCATGGTGTATCCTCTCAGTTGAATGTAAACTCCTGGAGGGCAGGCCCTGGTTTGTTCCTATGTATCCCCCAGTCTCCAACACAGTGTCTTACACAGACTAACCATTTCTTTCTCTCTCTCTCTCTCTCTCTTTCTTTCTTTCTTTCTTTCTTTCTTTCTTTCTTTCTTTCTTTCTTTCTTTCTTTCTTTTTCTTTCTTCCTTCCTTTCCCTCTCTCTCTCTCTCTCTTCTCTCTCTCTCTCTCTCTCTCTCTCTCTCTCTCTCTCTCTTTCTCTCTCTCTCTCTCTCTCTCTCTCTCTCTCTCTCTCTCTCTCCCTTTCTTCTTTCTTTTTTTTTTGGCAGTTGGGGTTTAGTGACTTGTCCAGGGTCATACAGCTAGTATCAAGTGTTTGATCTGAGGCCACCTTTGAACTCAGGTCCTCCTGACTTCAGGGCCTGTACTCTATCCGCGGCACCACCTAGCTGCCCCCAGACTAACCATTTCTAATGATTATTATTTGTTGAATGAATTTGATTCTGTGTTCTGTGACTGGCTCTAAGAGCTCACTTTGTGTGTGGGGGACAAGACTCCTGTCACCTATGCATTAACAAACAACATAGGGCAATATAACTAGGTGACAGATGGCAGAGCATTATTGGTCATAAGTACCTTAAGGGTGGAGAGAAGGGAGAACTCTGTTGAGGGGTGGGGAGTGTTCAGAGAAGGCACCTGGGAGGAGGTGGGATTTGAAGGATAGATTGGGTTTACTTAGGTAGAGAGTGAATGAATGGATAAAAGGTCATTCTAAGGCACCTACTGTATGCCTGATACCATGCTAGGTGCAGGGAGGTGGGCACGGATACTAATATAAAAGTGAGAGGGTCCCTGCCCTCGTGGAGTTTATGTCCTACTAGGAGGAGGCGACCCAAGGGAGGGATGGCAGAGAAGGTAGTCAGGGTCTGGGTGGTCACAGGAATGGTGACTGGAGCCACTGACCCGTCTTGCATTTTTCCAGAAGCATTTGACTTGTTTCCTGTTCCCAGAGCAAGAATTAGGGGTGGGATGGGGGAGAATGCCTGAGGTAGATGGGACTTGGAGGATGGGATGAAAAGAGAGGTCTGAGGGCAGTCAGCCTCCCTGAATCGGATGGATTTTTGGCTCCATCGCCAATCAAGCTGGCTGGGCCCTAGGGCGGAGCGGAGAGAGGAGGAGCTAAGACTTTCTAGGCCCTGGGAATATCCAAGACAGAATTTCAGAGGTTATCTAGTCCAAGCCCTTATTTTTCAGGAGACTGAGGCCCACTGAAGTGAGGAGACTTGTCAGGAGTCAGTCATTGTCAGAGACTGAACTCAAAACTAGAACCCACGGACAGCTAGGTGTCGAAGTGAATAGAGCACTGGCTCTGGAGTCAGTAGGACCTGAGTTCAAATTTGGCCTCAGACACTTGACACTTACTAGCTGTGTGACCCTGGGCAAGTCACTTAACCCCAACTGCCTCACCAAAATCAAAACAAAACAAAACCTAGAAGCCAACTGAAAATTGGAACTGTTCCTCTCCCTCTTTCTGCTATTCCTGCCTCTTTCCTGTGGGGTATAGGGCAAGCAGAGGGGAAAGGGACAAGCCATACCTGGTAAACATGCGGAATTTTTATTGGAATCAAGCCTCAATTCCCACAAGATTGGGGGTGGACTTTAAACTCCTCTCCAGCAGGAGATGCCTGGTGGCTCCCTGGGGCCTTGGTGGACTCTGGGTTACTTTTCCCTCTGCCTCCTATCCCAGGGGGAAGGGTCCTGGAGGTCGGCTTTGGGATGGCCATCGCGGCCAGCAAGGTCCAGGAAGCCAACATCGAGGAGCATTGGATTGTTGAATGCAATGATGGCGTCTTCAAGCGGCTACAGGAGTGGGCCCAGCATCAGCCTCACAAGGTAGCTGTTGGGGCTCTGCTGGGAGGGATATCCTGTCCTGGGTGGGCTCACTCATAGCATACCTGTAATGGCTCACTAGCCCTTGGGACGGCCTCTTGGGCCCTGTCGAAGGAAGGGAGGAATGGAAAGGAAGTAAGTGTTTATTAAGCACCTACTATGTGCTAGGCCTGTGCTAAGTGCTTTACAAATACCACCCTGGGAGGTAGGTGGTGTCGATATCCCGTTTTATAGTTGTGGGAAACTGAGGCAGACAGCGATGAAGCGACTTGCCTGGGGTCACACAGCTTGGAAGTGTCTGAGGCTGGGTTTCATCTCTCTTTTCTCTCTCCTCTTCCTAAGGTCGTCCCCTTGAAAGGCTTGTGGGAAGAGGTGGTGCCCAACCTGCCTGATGGACATTTCGATGGTGAGAAAGCACAAAGAGGCCCTAAAGGGAATAAAAGTAACAACTACAACGATGATGAGAGTTATTTATGTATCGCCTGAAGGTTTTCAGAACACTTTCCAAAAGATCTCATTTAATCCTCACAACAACCCTGGGAGGCAGCTGCTATTATCCCCATTTTATAGATGAGTAAACTGAGGCACACCTCGGTTAAGTGATTTGCTTGGGGCTCACAAAACTAGTAAATGTCTGAGGTCACATTTGAACTCGGGTTTTCCTGACTCTAGGTCCAACACTATCCATTAGGACAGCTGGACAATTAGCTCTCCAGGAGGGGTGATGGGACAGCCGTCTGTGGGTAGGTCTGGGGAAATGATTAGTCCCAACTGTTGTCGTTGCTTGAAATTCTGCCATTGTGGTATTATCCCTTTGGGTTAAAGCACTGACTCCAGGAAAGACTCCTGCTCCAAGGCCCTAGGGAAAGAGTTAATGTATTAATGCTGCCTCCCTCCCCAGCCTTGTTACTATTGGGAGCTTATGACCTTGGCCCTGTTTACACCAGGCTCCCTCCTACCACTCTGTATCTCCACGAGTCAACATAGTTACCCATTAGATGGGGGCCACATTAAGGAAAAAAGGCCTTATCGCTGCCAGAATCTCCTAAGGTCCTGGAATGTCATTTATTTATAAGTTCAGGGACAGATTTAAAAATGCTTCTAGGTTTTTGGTTTTGGGTGGTTTTTTTTTGTAAAGGACTGAAAATAGTAAATCAGTCCTGTTTGCCTGGAGTTAACAGGCTAAGTATTTTAAGTAATTGTAAGAAGCACTTTTGGTCCAAATGAACACGTAATGAAAAAGTATTCCTTTCCTCTTGTTACAAAGGTGGAATATTATCAGGTGAGAATACATGCAGAAAAAGCCCTTGACAAAAGGCAATACTCATTTATCCTAAAATAACAAAAAAAGTCCTACAAAGCATAGGCATAGAAAGATCTTTTAAAAACTATGATGAGAAATATATATATGTATATATACACATACACATGCATGTGTACATACAGATACACGCACATATGTATGTATGTATGTATAAAACCCAGAGCTAACATTTTTAACAAGGAAACCCAACCAGCTTTCTCAAGAAATATAGAGGAGCAAAGCAAGGATGTCCCTTTTCCCCCACTGTTATTTGCTATAGTTCTACAAATGCTCAAGATAGTAATATGAAAAAGAAATTAAAATCACAAGAATAGGTAAAGCAGAGACAAAAGTATTCTTATTTGTGGGTAACAAGGTGGTTTACTTAGAAAACCCTGGAGAATTAGCAAAGAAAATAAACAAGAAAATTAAGAGCTTTGGCAAAGTAGTAGGATACAAAATACAAAATTGTCAAATGTGGTCACTATATCATTTGTTTTTGCAAAATTGTTTTCTTTGTTACAAGATACAGTTTAGTCCTGGGTAAGAGGTGAGGGGCTGTCACACGTACTCAGAAATGTGAAAATCAAAGGCAGTCCCATATGACATTTTTAAAGAATAAACAAAGTTAAAAGCATTGTTTCTCTGGAACAGGAATTCTGTATGACACCTATCCCCTCTCTGAGGAAACCTGGCATACCCACCAGTTCAACTTCATCAAGGTAAGGCGGTGGCATCGGCCTTCACCTATGAACATAACTCCTTAACGCTGTCAGCAGGCCAAAGTTTGAAGTTCGGGGTGGTCTCCAGAAGCAGGGATGGGTTTGTACCTGAGGCATCTGTGTCCTTTTATCCTTTGTGACCTAGGGCATTGGTGAGATAGGTGAAAAGGGGGCTGGGGCTGGGGCTCATTAAGACCTTGCCTTTCCACCTTGACAGGCTCACGCTTTCCGATTGCTGAAGCCTGGGGGTGTCCTCACTTACTGCAATCTGACGTCCTGGGGAGAACTATTGAAGACCAAGTACACGGATATCAAAAAGATGTTTGAGGTGAGGGATGAACCTGGGCCCCGCCACCACCCCACCCTGCCACACATGACCACCCACAATCCACCCTCTGTTATCATCTCCCTGCTTCCTCTCCATACATCTGTGTTTGCATAGGGAGGATCACAGGGTGTGTGAAAAAGCGCCCTGGCCTGTAAGTCAGACAGGATTCTAGTCCTGGTGTTGTAACTCACCCTGTGATTAACCTTAGCTTAATTATTTCTCTATGGGCCTCAGTTTCTCCTCCATAAAAGGAGGGATTAGACAAGTTGATTTCTGAGGTCTGACATTTGGTGTCCTAGGTTGGCATGTTCAGTCGATAGCTTGGTGGCGCATAGATAGAGCGCCTGCCCTGAAGTCAGGAAGACTCCTTTCCCTGAGTTCAAATCCAGACTCAGACACTTCCTAGCTGTGTGACCCTGGGAGAGTCACTTCATCCTGTTGGCCTCAGTTTCCTCATCTGTAAAATGAGCTGGAGAAGGACATGGCGAACCACTCCAGTATCGTTGGCAAGAAAACCTCAGATGGGTCATGAAGAATGACAATGTCCCTCCCAACTATGTGGTACAGTAGAAAAAGCAGTGGACATGGGTGCAAGTCTTGTGTCTGACATTATGTAACCTTAGGCAACTTACTTTCCCTGGATCTCAGTTTCTTAATGACAAGTTAAAGGGGTTGAATCAGATGGCCTCTGAGATCCTTTCCAGTTCTAGATCTGTGATCCTTATAATTCTTAAAATTCTGTGTTCTAAGCTCCTTCCCACCACCTCTGATATTCAGTATTCTAAGCTGCCTCCCAGCCCTGACATTCTGTGTTCTAAGGTCTCTCCCAGCTCTGACATCCTGTATTCTAGTGTCCCTCCTAGCCCTAACATGTTCTAAGGTCTCCCCCAGCTCTGACATCATGTGTTCTAATGTCCCTCTTAACCCTGACATCATATGTCCTAAGAACCCTCCCAGCTCTGACATCCTGTGTTCTAAGGACTCTCCCAACTCTGACATTCTGTGTTCTAAGGTCTCCCCCAGCTCTGACATCATGTGTTCTAAGGTCTCCCCCAGCTCTGACATCCTGTGTTCTAAGGGCTCTCCCAGTTCTGACATCATGTGCTCTAATGTCCCTCTTAACCCTGACATCATATGTCCTAAGAACCCTCCCAGCTCTGACATCCTGGGTTCTAAGGTCTCTCCCAACTCTGACATTCTGTGTTCTAAGCTCTCTCCCAGCTCTGACATCCTGTGTTCTAAGAACTCTCCCAGCTCTGACATCCTATGTTCTAAGGGCTCTCCCAGCTGTGCCATTGGAAGCAAAGATGAAGTCTCTGAATTCAGGGGCAGTATCCAGAGATGCAAGCATGCTTCAGATGTTTGCCTTCATCCTTCCCTAATAAGAACAATAATAACAGCTCATATTTCTCTACTGCTTTTCTGGTTTACAGAATACTTTAAAAAAAAAAAGGGGGGGGCAGCTAGGTGGCATAGTGGATAGAGCACTGGCCCTGAAGTCAGGAAGACCTGAGTTCAAATTTGGCATCAAACCAAACACTTGACACTCACTAGCTGTGTGACCCTGGGAGAGTCACTTAACCCCAATTGCCTAAAACAAAAACAAATGAAAACAGAATACTTTCCCAATCATTCTCTTAGACAATTATAGACAATAGAGCTGAAGTGGACCCTCAAGGAGATTTATTGATTAGCCAAGGTCATGGTGTCATAGATTTAAAGTAGGACAGTATCTTAGAAGTCAAGTCCAACATCATCATTTTACAGATAGGGAAACTGATGTCCAGAGTAGTTAAATGAATGACCCAAGGTCACACAGATCATAAGTGTCAGACTCTTATAACATCACAGATTGAGAGAGGGAAGGGAACTTCTAGGTTGTTCAGTCCATCCCTTCCCCCTCATTTTGACAGTTGAGGAAACTGAGGCCCTAAGATATTCAACAAGGTAGTAAGTTGCAGAACCAGTATTTGAACCCAGGTTCTCCAATCCAGCACCCCTTCCACTACTCCATGTTATGTCCTTTATTCAGGGACTCACCTACCTAACAAGAGGCTTACAGCTGCCCCCCCCCCCCACAAAGGATGACTGGTTTGTTTTATTTTTAGCCACATTAATTCATTTAAGATGTGGAGGGGTTGCGATCTGTTGGTACTGAGATACCAGTGCTAACAAATTCATAGATTCTTTAAATCTTAAAGATTGAACAGATAACCAAACTTTTATTGTTTTCTGGTTTTCATCCTCAAAGGATGGCTTCATGGAGAACATGTCACCCTCTGTAATGTCCATGTCCTCCAAACACCTCTCCCTTTTCGTTAGCAAAGACTCACGACGAGTCTTTCCTCCTGATGTCATTTCTCTTAGGGGCCTACATAAGCTCAGAGGGTCATACATCTAGAGCTGGAGGAGACCTTAGAAGTCTTCCAGATGAGTTAAACTTGTCCAAGATCCTAGAGATCATCAGTGGCAGACCCCACATTTAGCCCAGATTCTTTAACTCAGAGAATCGCCATTTTAGCTCAATTAGGAAAGGGAACCAGAAGTCAAGAGCAGAGAAACCACTTGTCTCAAATCCCATGGGGAGTAAATGGTCCCCTGCCTCAGGCCCACCAGATGTATTTTTACAGTGTACCTCCCGGAGGATGACCCGGCCCTTTCTTTCTGTTGCCGCTTAGGAGACCCAGATCGCAGCCCTGGTGGAGGCAGGTTTCAAGAAGGAGAATATCAGCACCACTGTGATGGACCTGGTGCCCCCCAAGGAATGCCGCTACTACTCCTTCCCCAAGATGATCACCCCTACAGTCGTCAAACACTGAGGGCACCCAGCTTCCTCTTCCTCCAGGCTGACCCTGGAATGGGGGCACCAAGGGCTCTCTGGCCTGCCAGGGCTAGAGCCTAGGAATGCTCAGTAGATCTCGGCCAACTTCTTAACAGGACTTGACAGGGGAACTTGTCACAAGAAGAGAAGCAGAGAGCAAGCAGGGGACTGAGGGACTCTCTAGGCCTGTCTCCTCACGCAAGGCCTCAAGGGTGGCAAAGAGGCTTCTGTTTCAATACAACAAACACCTTAAGTTCTGGGCAGAGCCCAGTGCTAGAAGTCAAGGCTCAGGGTTTTCCTGCTTTTTGATTTGTCTACCATCTCAGTCCTTGTAAGCTTCTTGGAGCCTTTATTTGTTTCATCTATAGAATGGGTGTATGTGCCTGCTTGACAGGAACTGGCTACCTTCAAAGGTAATAATCAGGCTACCTAAATGGAAATTTCTTATGCAAAAGCTTCTGCAAGGTATTGCTTTAAGAAAATGCCTCTCTTGGTTAGTAAGTGCCCATAATGTGCTTCTTGGTGCAGGAGAAGTACAGGGAAGTCCAGAGCTTGGCCCCCTGCCTTTGAGGGGCTTGTACCCCATTTGAGATAGGGGGTTGATAATCCAAGAGTGAGTCCAGGGGCCAAATGCTCATGTCCTGGGCTTCCCCCTCATTCCAGGGCTTCAAAGAGTCAATGTCTACTTGTTGGGGATGGGATTCCTGCTCAGGTTATAGCTGAACTAGATTGCATGGTCCCTGAGGTCCCCATAGCATCCCTTGAGGGCAGGGAAAATATTTTTATCTTTCTCTGTATCCTCAGGGCTTAGCACAATGCCTGACACTTAGTACTTAATACATGTTTGTTGACTAACACCTTTCCTTTGAGATAGAGGTAGAGCAAAGAGTAGCCCCATTTTATAGATGACAGAGAGGCATTGTATCTACTAGACAGTAGCCAGAGCTGGCCTTGGAGCCTGGAAGACCCGGATTCAAGTCTCACCTCTGATGTATACTGGCTTTTGCAACTCTGGCCAAGTCATGAAACCTAGTTACTCTAGGCTTCTCCTTCAGACTAAGCAGTAGACCCACATTGGTAGAGGAAGTTTGGTCAATGGAGAGTTCCTTTTAATGGATAAAATCAGAGGTTCAGTCCCTATCCCTTTATAGGTGAAGAAACTGAGAAGTGATTTGTCCACAGCCACTAAAGACGGAGCTAGGATCTGAACTCGGGTCTCTTGCTGCCCAGTATTCTATCAACCTGAGGTCCAGAGGTTGAGGGACTCTAGGCCCCCAGCATGTTCCACTACACTGTTTCTTCCATTTCAGTCTGTTTCCCTGTTTAAGTCCATTTGGAACTTATACACTAACTAATACACTGTGAGGTCCCCCTGCATCCTTTATTTAGATTTTGGTGCTCTTCAGACCAGGTGCTCTGCTGGGGTGCCAGAGGTCCACTGGGGAAAGGGAAGGCCCTGCACCTTCTCAGTTGTAGCAGAAAGCCTGCTGGTCAAATAATAAAGGAATTCTGACCTCAGCTACAGTCCAGGTTTCCTTCTTGACTCTTGAACTGTTGATGCAAGCAGTGTGTGTATGTGTGTAGGGAAGGGAAGAATGAAGAAATGTGGGGATAGGAGAGATTGGGGAGAAGAATGGAGAGAGAAGGTATGAAAGATGAGAAAGGGAAGGGAGGAGAAAGCAAGGGGAAAGAGAAATGAGCAGCAGGGATACAATAAAGCAAATGGGCCTTTGAGGGCAGTTCTAGCAGAAAACTTATCCAAAGGATATAAGATCCTTCCCACCCTGATGGTCCTTCCCATCTCTACTCAAACCCATCCCATTGCCTAATCCTTCTGTTAAAGAAATGACTACCAGGACTCTGCCCACTGCAAGCCCATTGATACATCCAGCCATGTGAGAGAGACTCCTTGAGAGTCTCTGGACAGTGAGACTCAAGATGGTGCAAAGTACAATGTTTTAGTTGCTATCTTGTGCTTTCACATCAACCTAAGTTTTCCCCTTTATTCCTTGATGTTGGGAAAGACTGGAGGTAAAAGAAAAAGGGGATGGCAGAGGATGAGATGAGATGGATAGTGTCATGGAAGCAATGCACGTGAGCTTGGACAGAGTTTGGGAGATACTACAGGATAGAAGGGCCTGGTGTGGTATGGTCCATGGGGTCATGAAGAGCTGGACATGACTAAATGACTCCCAGATGAAAAAGAATTTTTTAAGAAAACACCTCTTTTATTTTCAGCTTTTGTTCAAAAACACTACCTTCTAGCCTGCTCTTTCGTACCCACCTTTTTCCATTTGCCTCAATTTCTTTTTTAAATTTTTTATTAATTTATTTTTAATTTTCAACAATCACCTCCATATGCTTTTTTTCCCTCCCCCTCCCCAAGGCGGTGTGCAATCTGATATAGGCTCTACATATATTAAACGTATATTAAACGTATTTTCACACCAGTCATGTTTTAAGGAAGAATTAGAACCAATAGGAGGAACCACAAGAAAAAGGAAACAAAACAGAAGGGAAAAAAAGTGAAAATAGTATCTTCAATCTGCATTCAGACTCCATAGATCTTTCTCTGGATGTGGGCAGCATTTTCCATCATGAATCTTTTGGAGATAAAAGAATTTTTTTAAGAAAAAAAGGTGCAGAAGAGAAAAAAAAATCAGCTAAACTCATGAAAACACTAAAAAAAAAATCTGAAAAGCTAGGTGATTTTCCACACCCACAAAGGGAGATGTCTTCTCTCTCTGGGACCATGTTTGCTTCTTTGTAATTCTGCAACACGAATTTCTGTCTCGTTGTTGTTGTTACTGTTCAAAGCACAACTTTTTATAATCTTGGGAAACCAGTATCAAAGGGTGGAAGATGGCTGCAGGGAGGACAGGGCATAAACGAGTGGACAGAACCATGCTCAAATGGGAATTGCGGAGGGCTTGCAAATTGGGAGCCTGCAAAGTATTCTTAGAAAGGTAAAAACATGAACAGATGATGGCTTAATAAAAATCAAACAAACAAGTAGCACAAAACCTTCACTGGCTGGCCTAAAGATAAGGCCTTTTCCATGGTCCTCCAGGGCTGCCATGCGCTTTGTGCTAGAAGTATCACAAAAAGGCCTGCAGTCTGGACTCCTGACTCCTCATTACTCAGGCCACATCATAGATCCTGCTCACATTTCCTGCCTTCGGTAACAGAGTTCTAGGTTTCCTCCTCTGGTTGGCAGGGTCCTCTTTCTCCCTTGGCATCCTTAACTTTTGAATGCCAAGTTGGTGGCAAGGTCTCTTAACAGTATTGGTAGTCAGTGAGGTCACTTCAGGAGCTTCTTTCAAAAGCTGACCTCTTATTCTGGCCGAGGTTTAAAGAGAGTGATACGATGATCTTCATTTTCATATCTCTGTTTTCTTCAAAATAACCCTGTGAGGCAGGCAGTAACAATTAAAGACAGTGCCTGGATTATAACCTGGCAGTGGGTTAGGTATCCCACAGACTTGGTCCATTGGCATATTTATAAGCTAGGCCTAGAACTGAGATCAGGTGGGATGATTTCCTTCCAAAACGGCATGACTTATCTCTCAGGAAAACCTTACTACATCACTAATAGGCTTCAAGTGATGCTACATTGTCACAAATTATGAAACACAGCATGATCTTGAAAGAATCAGTTACACATGATGTCAAAAGGCAATGGAGAGACGTGGGCAGTGTGTACACTGACAGGCTGCCGTATCTGACTGATAATGGCATATGTGGGAGGAGCGGTATAAATTACTCCAAGGATATTACTGACTGGAGTAAAGTGGGCTAGCCTGTAGTCACTGGTATCCCCGACTATTAAAAGAACCAGAGGACAGACCTCAGGGAAAATTCATGGGAATAAGTGGACAAAAGCCAGGTAGGATAAATGTAGGGATCATGGGCCACATAGAGGAATGGGGTCCCCACACCCATGGGATCATGGATTGGTTTGAAGCATGCAGAGGAAGGACTTGATCAAGGACTCACATCCAGGTCTTCTGACTCCCCAGTCCTCTTGGTTATTTCCATGAGGCTTTCTCAGCCCAGGGCCCCTGGGGAAATCAGATCTAACATACTCTAACGCTATAGGAGATTTTGCAACTGTTTCCCCTCATTTCCTGAGGGATCTTTTCCTGTTCTAAAAAGAGCGGTCTTCCCTCTCCACAAAAGGATTCACGGAAGGGCATATCTGCAAAAAGAGGTCCCACCTCTGTGCTGTGCTCTAAGACAACACGCAAACACTTCTACCAAGAGTAAAACAGAACAATCTAATGTGTGTGATGAGAGGGCTGGAGCCCAGGAAGAACCATAGACTATGAGAGATGGATGGGCCTTCTGAGGACAGAAAGACAGACCCTAACACAGCCATGCTACAAGAAACCTTAGAAATCACCTGGTCCACTCTCATCTTACAGGAATCTGGGGACTGGAGCAAGGAAGTCACAGCAAGGACCACAGCATTCTAACTCCCAGGCCAGGCCAATGACGAGACAGTCAACTCTCCATCATCATCACCAACAAGCATTTATTGAGCACCTACTGTATCAATCACAGAGGATTCGGAGCCTGATTGACAAACACATCATAGAAAGCGAGGTCCACCTGTGACCAGCAGGATCCTACTCACTTGCAACCCTCCTTGGTATGGTATCAAGAGGGTACAGATTTTCCACAGGGAGGCCACACGCTTTCATGTGCTTTGACTGCGGGGATTGTGTGTAAATGTCGATGACACTAGATCCCCCAGCACTGAGGAGGCCTTATGTGGAACCCTCCTCCACCTCACCCACAGTCTCCAACAGTTCGCATTTGCAGGATGGCTTTCCAGAAATAACTCAGCTATTGTTCTAGTAACAAGAGATGGACCTCATGGCCTTACCCTCAGTCCTATCCAGCCTATAATCCACCTAGGACTCAGCACACACTTGTATGTGTGTAGACAAAGCCTTAGATGGCATCTAGTCCAACATTCATTTCACAGACGGAAAACTGAGGCCATGTGGAATTAAGTGAAGGGATCTGAGTGCAGGCCCTAAGTGCCAAGTCCAGGGTTCTCTCTATCCACCACAGCAGGCTGCCCTGGGTACCAAGCAGAGACAACAGTATCTGTTACATGGGTGTTTTATTGACATTTACATGGCATGAGATCACAAACAGAGAGAGGCCGGGGCGGGAGGCCGTTGTCACCGCCGGTACCACACCTTGAGCCTCTTTTCCCGTTTGATCTTCTTCTGGAGCTGCAGGATCCCGTAGAGTAATGCTTCAGCTGTAGGTGGGCAGCCTGAAGGGGTACACAGCACATGCAGTTACACCATCTGTCACTGGGCGAGGGAGGATGAAGCACAGACACTGGCCTCTCCCGAGCACTGGGCACTTCACCAAAGGTATTCTACTGTCATGGTACTCACTATATTACTAGAGCCAGTGAAGCTTACAGCCGCCCTTAGACTTTTGGGACACCCAGCCCTGTGGCTAACTGCATGTGATTTAACTTAGGTAAAACCAGGCTGCTGCTTTCTGGATACAGACAAAACTCACAATGGCTAGGGATCACAGAGTTCACACCACAAGAGCCCAGAAGACTTCTAGAGTCCAAACTGGAGGAAGGTGGGAAGTGAGGGGATAAGGAACTAAGAGACCAGGGGATCTAAGCCAGAAGGGACCTCAGGACCCTCCTTTTAAAGAGGAGGACGGGGCTGAGGCTCGGGAGGGTGTGCCTTGCCCAGGATCACATACATTGGGAGAGGAGCCAGGATCTGAATTCAGATCCTCTGACTTGAAATGTGCTCTTTACAGGAAATCCTGATGACTCATCAAAACAGTTGGAATTTCCCTCCTGCCCAGAGATCTTTAGCTGAAAGTTGGCTGACCAGCTGGAAGGGATTCCTGCTGAGACACAAGGTGGATCAACTACCCTCCAAGATCTTTTCTGGAACTGTGTTTCTGGGATTGGGCATGGAAGAGAGCTCGGTCCTAGGTCAGAGAGAGACTACAGACTTGCCAAGGAATCTCAAGTCTAGCAAAGGGAGTTGGGGCCTCAAGTGAGTTGGATAGAAGAGGTTTCCAGGACATGAAATACTAACACAGGACTCTGTGCCTAAATGCTGCCCTGATACCACTTGTAGCAATTTAGGACCACAGGCCTTTCAGTCCTCAATGCCCAGAGAACCAAAGCACCTTCATGTGTTCTGATCTTCCCAAGGCCTAAGGGGATAACAGTGAGGATTGTTCTGTCTTCTAGACCAGGGTATGGACCAGGCTTCTGATGTCAGCCTGGTCCAGCAGGGCTCCTTCCACCCCACCAATGCCACAAATACACTGGCTTACACTAAGCGGTCACTTGTGCTTGTAAAGCAGTAGCAGAAGGAACCAGGCAGCTGGTGGCACTCTATGCCAGGGACTCCTGGGAAAGAGGACAGGAATACCAGAATGCCTTTTTCCTGGGAGAAAACCCACAGGTTGACTGTCACCCCTCACAGGGAGAATTTCAGAGCTGAAACTGAGTCCCATTGGGGGTCTGAATGAAACCACCTCCCCACAGAGGTGGAGCGTGACCCTCCCAGGTCCAGATATTCCTGATGGGATTTCTGCTCAGGTATGGACTGGCCAGGATCCCGGGGAGGCCCCTCCTGGCCTGAGGATCTATGGCTCAGTGAGCTTAGTTGAACATTTCCTTGAACTTTCCAAGTCATCTCCATGAGTGACCATCAACTGAACTGGCCTGTAAAGGGAGGCCCCAGGGCCTCGGATTTCTCCCCCAAACAGAAGGGCCATCTGAGGTCACATCTGCTTTCCTTCTACGGCTTTTCTCGCTCTCTCCTGCTGCTATGAGGTCCCTGAGCCCCTTCCGTCCTCCTCCTGCTGCTTCTGCTCTGCTCTAGGCTGCATCTCAGATGACCCAAGGGCACCTGGTCAGAACTATGTGAAGAATAAGAGGCAGCAGCCTCTCTGGGGGCCTTTGGCCTCTGCTCTGAGGCTCAGCCCCAGGCTTCTTGGACATCAATCTGGGGAGCTCTTTGTGCTTCTTTTCTGGATTTCAACTGGCTTGTGAATCAGTGATTTTGTCTCTTCATCGACCAGGTACTGGTCACCCAATGAGAGAACTAGAAAGGAACTCAGAAACCTTCAGAGTAACCTTCTCACTTAGATGGGAAAGCGAGGCACAGAAAAAGAGAGGGATGTACTGAGAGGATCACAGGACTTAAAGCTGCCAGGGTCCTTACAGACCCTCTTGTCCAGCCATCATTTTACAGATAAAGAAACAGAGGGCCAGAGGTGGGGATGGACCTGTCCAAATTCACACAGCTGGTAAACAGCAAAGGCAGCATTTGAACCTAGGTTCTAACTACAAATTTCCCACTCTTTCCACTATACCTTGGCGCCCTGATCTCAGATGGCAAGTCAGTAACAAGCCAGTGAGGCACTGCTATGTCTGTGTATAAACAGGTTAGAAGAGGTTTCTGCTGGGGAATTACGGAGGTTTTAATGTGTCAAAGGCACCCCATCTACAAGAAATACCTCAAGGTTGCAGTATAATTAAGCTTATTACCTGTATTCTCACATAACTAGACCTTACTCTTTCGCCCCTGGCTTTCTGAATGACCTTGGGGGAGTCACTTCCCTCCCATGGTCCTCAGTTTCCCCATCTGTAAAACTGTGGTGTGAGGGAGAAGCTGGGGTCAACTCCAAGTCCCTTCTAGTGCTACAACACAGTGCACAGTAGAGCTGGGCTCTGGCATGTGGTGGCTAAGGAAGGGCTCCTCTACCTGGGACGTAGATATCCACAGGCACAATGCGGTCACATCCTCTCACTACAGAATATGAGTAGTGGTAATATCCTCCACCATTAGCACAACTGTTAAGAAAAAAAAAGAGAATAATAAGAGTTATCTCACAATTCCAGAGTACGTCATATGTATGTAGTAACTTTGCTCATTACGACCGTGAGGTAGTTAGCGCCAGTATAATGGGCTATGTGGCCCAGCGGATTCAGGGCCAGAGTCAGGAAGCCCCAAGTTCAAACTCTATCTCAGACATTTATCAGCTGTGTGACCCTGGGCAAGTCATTTACCTGTCTCCCTCAGTCTACCCTGTCTGTGAAGTGAGGAAAATAATAGCACACAGCTCTTGGGGTTGTTTTCTGAAGATTAAATGAGATAACCTATATAAAGTGATTTGCAAACTTTGATGTGTCATATAGTTGCTATCATTATTAACAACAGTAAGGATTATTATCACTCACATACCCATTTTGCAGCTGAAAAAATTACAGGGCAGAGTGAATATGTGACAACCATGGTCACCTAACGAGTAGCAGAATGTGATTCCAACAGGCCCTCCTGACTGCAAGCCCAGGACCCCCCAGCATCCACGCGTGTTGCCCATTAGCCCTTCTGAGTCTGTTTTCACCCACATCAGGGCCCTGTAGCCCACAAAGAGCATACCCAAGAGGCACTTTCACTCCTGGGCACGGAAGCCTTCATGGGTGACTAGAGGAAAACTGCTCGAGTTCAAAGGAACCCTAACTTTCCTGGACCACAGCCCAGGAGCAGCAGCTACTCAGGGGATCCACTGAGTATTACTCAGTGCCTACTCTGGGGTGGGCAGCTCTGGGCAACGTGCTGGTGGCACAAACTGGACCAGGGAGGGGCTTGAGGAGCTCACCTTCTTAACAGAGCTCGCTTTCCAAATGCTCCTCAACAGCCTGGGAGGACCCAGCCAGTCCTGGAGTTTCCTAGTAACAGATGCCAAGAGAGTCCTCAGGTCATGCTCTGGCCCCACTGGACCTTTGTCATTGTATTTGCTGGTCTGTACATGAACCCTTTGCCAAACTGGTTTCCTCAACGTCACTTTATCTGCCACATTCATTTTCTTCTTGCCGGCCCTTGTGCATTTTTTTTCTTTGTGGTGAGGCACTGGGGGTTAAGTGACTTGCCCAGGGTCACACAGCTAGTAAATGTCAAGTTTCTGAGGCTGGATTTGAACTCAGGTCCTTCTGACTCCCAGGCCGCTCTATTCACTGAGCCATCTAGTGATCCTCCTTGTGCATTTTTTGATGCGTGCGCATGCACACGTGCGCGCACACACACACACACACACACACACACACACACAATCTACTTCCTCCTCCATCCCACCGGAACCCTCCCTTGTGAAAAAGAAAAGCAGTTGAGCAAAAAGAAGCCACAGAGAGACCACATCTGATAAGGGATGCAGAGTTCTGCCCCCGAGGGCACCTTCCCCCACATTTTCTATGAGCTCTTCCCATTGGCTTTACATAGGGTTTGAGTTTCTCTAGAACAGCTACAACATTTGATTCTGTTACTCCCACTAGCCCAAGGACAGGATGTCCCTGGCAACGCCAATTCCCACCTACACATAGAACTCTCAGTGTTTTTGAAAGTTGGCTGGGACTAGTACAAGGTGACCCCTGGACTCACTGTCCCTTGTTATCTAAGGTCAGATGGAAAAGATTAATTCTTCTTGAGCAGAGAAGATAGTTACCAGGACAAGAGGGCACCTCAGAAGGAGGGAGCAGGAAAAAGAGACATGAGTTTAAAATGATGTAAATGGGGTTTTCGTCCCCCTGGCTTTTCTCTTCTGATGAGCATGAAAGTGATCAGTCTCTCTGAAGGGGAGCTGCCATTCATAAGGGCTGAATTAAATGCTATGATCTTGTCAATCTCCCACATTTTGACTTCATCTGCCTGTCTTGGGTGTTCTTCTCCAAGGACCTGACTCCACTCACAAATTCCCCTAGTCCAATCTCAACACTAAGTTCCTTTAGAAAGCCTTCTCTGCCCAGGCCCACAGGAAGACCTGAATTCTCTCAGCAGTTACAGAATCTCAGGATGGTAAGGAACCTCAGAGACCACCAATACCACCCCATCATTTTCTAGAGGGAGAACTGAGACCTAGAAGGAACAGTGATTTGCTGATGTCACACACGCAGCTAATTGTTAGAGCCAGGACTTGAATCCTGGTTTTCTGATCCCACACCCTGAGCTCCTGCCAGACCCCGTGCTCCCTCACTCCACAGCTTGAAGGTTTCAGCACGGATCTATTCTATTTGTGGGCTTTCTTTCCAGCATGAATTTTGTGATATCCAATAAAGTGAATGCTTGGTTGGCACATTTTCTACCCTCATGACCCTCAGAAGTGTCTCCTTCCCTAAGGGGAGTCTTATTTCATTTAACACTGTCTGAGGCTCTTTCCATGTCTATTATCATCATGGAGAATCTTCCTGACAAGCCTCTTCTTTGATGGAAAAAGAAGTGACTCCAGACTGAAGCTCATCTCTGTGTGCTGCAGCTGATGTGAAGCATCATCTGTATGTTTTTTACTGCTCTGGATCGCTTCCTAGCAGTGATTTTTACAGCTGGTCTCACATCTCTAGGGGCTTATGATGGTTCGCAAGGCATTTTCCTCCCAACAACCCCATCAGAGAGGTAATCCCAGTATTCTTTTCCTTGTTCTCCAAATAAAAAAATGAGGACCCGTGAGGTTTAAATGACTTTCCATTAACACAGCTAGTAAGTGTCCCTGGCAGGATTTGAACCTCAGCCTCTCTTGCCCCCAGCCCTATCCTTCATATCCCATCTAGTGCCCTATCCACCATACCACAATGCCTCTCTTCTTACTTTCCCAGGATATTTTTTTAATTCCACATTGTATTTTTCACATCCTCATGTCCTCCCACCTCCAGCCCTGGGGACCATTTCTAATTTGTCTCTCTTGGGGTGCTCATTTCAGAGAAATTCACAGGTGTGGAGCTGACGATGCCCCGGCTTCCAGTACAGGCTCCCACTATCATTATTTCACACTTTGGTATCGTTCTGTAGGTGTTTCTTGAGACTCTCCAGTGAGAGAGGAGCTTCTCAAGGCAGGGACCAGGGGCTCATTCCCCCACTGTTATTAGAATAGTAACACTGCTTTGTTCCATCCATGATTCAGACCCTGGTCAAAGAGAAATGCAAAAAAAGGTATCCACCCTTCACTTACCTTCCCATGGAGACTACATAACGAGGCTCTGGCATCTGGTCATATACCTGGAAAACAGACAAAGCCAGCCATCTTGCTGTCATTTCCCTGAACAATTAACTTCAGATGCTACTAGAGCCTAGCATGATCCTTAAGGATCAGAGGGGGGTGATACATAGTGGAGGGCTGGGCAGGGTCACTAAAAGCCTACTCAGTCTATGGGGAGGTCTCCTACATTCTACTATCTGACAGACCTACAACCTGACACCACTCCATGCTGGAGCCCAAGTCTTACCATTGGTTACTCGGCCTGAATCTCAGGTGTCCCATTCTTCTGACACAGGCCACAGAAGGTAAGAAACATCCAGCTGGCAACTGGTGAGCCTTCCTCAGGCAGCTCTTTGCTGCTTTTGGTAAAATTGACTCATTCCTTGCTGAGCAAAAACCTTCTCTGCCCCCATTAAGGCTGGACCTGGGCTCTCTCAGGGTGTGACAGCTGGTTCTGGCTTTCTCAGCATCAAGGCAAAGATGAGGAGGCAGGGGGTTACCTTTCGGAGAGCTGGGGCCATTTTGTTGGTGAGAGTGCCGGCTACGATCATCACATCTGACTGACGTGGGCTGGCCCGGAATACCACCCCAAACCGGTCCATGTCATATCGGGGAGCTGCCATGTGCATCATCTCCACAGCACAGCAGGCCAATCCAAAGGTCATGGGCCACATAGAACTCTAAAGGGAGAAAAAGCTGAGTTTTACATGACAGCCTTAAATTAAATGAGGCAGGAACTGTCTGGTAGGGCAATCCAGGTAATACACATGCTGATGAGGTGGGGGATGAAGGCACAGAATTGGGGGGGGGAAACAGACACACACATTTTGTTTTCCATGTGAATTAGATATTCTGGGTCTAGGATCACTTAGGGGTGGGGGAAGCAGACATACTCCAAGTTTTACAGCGATATAGATTTTTGTCTCAGTATTAAAAAGAAATTCCTAAGAATTAAGAGCTATCTGGAAGAAGGTGGCATAGCAGACAGAGTGCCAGGCCTGGAATCAGGAGGGCCTGAGTTCAAATCTAGCCTCAGACACCTACTAGCTGTGTGACCCTGGAGAATCATTTAACCCTGTTAGCCTCAGTTTCCTCATCTGTCAAATGAGAAGGAAATGGCAAACCACTCTAGTATCTTTGTCACAAAACCCCCCAAAAGAGTCAGAGTTAGATACAACCGACTAAGAAAAAAAAGGAGGTGATTTCACAGGCTCCCTGCAGAGAGAAATCCTGCATTAGGTAGGGAGCTGGGTTAAGACCTTGGATTTCCTTCTCACTCTAGGCTGGTATAACTTACTTTCCCCTTTCTGGAAGAACCTCTACCTAAAAATAGAAGAGATACTAGTATTCTTTGCAAACTAAAATCCTTCTTTTTTTTTTTAAGTGAGGCAACTGGGGTTAAGTGACTTGCCCAGAGTCACACAGCTAGGAAGTATTATGTGTCTGAGGCCAGATTTGAACTCAGGTCCTCCTGACTCCAGGGACAGCACTCTATCCACAGTACCACCTAGCTGCCCCCAAACTAAAACTGTGTAGGGATATTCTGATCAACTGGATTCTCAAATTTAACTCAGGGCTAAGCAAAAAAGCACTTTTCTTATGACAAAAAGCCATCTAAAATACTGTACTCCTTTCAATAAGTAAAGGACTACAGGGCTAGAAGAAACCTCAGAGGTCCAACATCATTACATATCAAACAACGAAACAAAGGCCTCAAGAAGTGACTTGACTAGGGTTACACATCCAGGAAGCAGGAGAGCCAGAATGCGAAGTCAGGGCCACTGACAAAGCCTGGCAAGTACAACTGAATCTGCCTTTGCTGACAAAGTCTGCTGAAAGTCCTTATGGTCATTTTCCGAACGCTCAAAAAAATTTTTTTCATGTCTTTTGCTTTTTTTTTTTCATTTTCCTTTTTTTAAAAAAACTATTAATGAATTTTTAGTTTTCAACAATCACTTCCATAAGCTTTTGAGTTCTAAATGTTTCTCCCCCTTCTTCCTCCGCCTCCCTCCCCAAGACAGCATGCAGGTTCAACATATACATTCCTATTAAACATATTTTCACATCAGTCATGTTGTTGTAAGGAAGAATTAGAACCAATAGTAGGAACCACGAGAGGAAACAAAACAGAAGAACAAAAAAGCTGCTATTTTTTTTAACATCACTATAGTTCCCAATCCTCCCTCTCCCTGAGAGCCATCTAGCATAACAAATGGTATTTCTGAAGACAAAAATAGAAAGGGAGAAAAAAAAAATCAGTATTACTGGTCAATACATTGAAGTAGTCTGAAAACGTGGCTCTTCAGGACTTGCACCTCAGCAAAGGGATGGGGTGGGAGTGACCTCTCACATGTCTTCTTTTCAGCCATGCTTTAAACATTCGTTTTCATTTGAAAGGACTATCACTTCATTGAATCACAGACTATCAGAGTTAGAGGAGACCTCAGGAAGAATCTACTCCAATGTCCTCACTTTACAGCTGAGGAACCCGAGGAAGCCCAGGCTCCAAGACGGGAACCTCCTCAAGGTCACATAACACCCCAGGGCAGGATCTGGGATCAGAAGCCAGGCCTCAGGGCTCCCTCCGCTCTACCACGTAGGTGCAGCTGTGGTTAAGGGATTCGGTGTCTGCCAGCTTCCAGGAGATGGCTTCTCCATCGAACTCCCTGACTTAGTTTTCTTTCATAAAAGACAAGCCCAGAAAAATGTTCTCTCACTGACATTGTCTAGTTGCTTAGAGGCCAGGTAAATTGGAGTGTACTATATCTGGAGATCTACAACCGCAAAGATGAAAGAACAAGACAACCGTTATAAAGCAACCATAAAAAAGTAGCTGGTGATTTAAAGTACAAGCAAGCGGTATAAGGTTAAACCTTGGTTCCCTAAGCAAAAGTATGTAAAGGGAAGCTCATGTTTGGCCTCTCTTCTGCAGGAGGTGGGGAGGAATGGAGTAAGACAAACAGGGACAGAGGACGGCTCCGGTTAGGATTTCAGTGGCAGAAATGTATGGGCAACAAGCGAGGCGAACAAAAGGTCACAGCTCTAGAAAGCGAATTCGACCTCCAGAGGTCTGGATAAAGACCTGGAATCTTGTGGCTGAAGGAGCTCAAATCCTGCTTTGGGGACACCTGTGTCACTTAACCTCCTTTCACCTTTGGCTTCCTCATTTATAGGAGGAGGATAATAAGGGTCTCGACCTTCCTGGATGAGAAGATGCACAGAGCCAACATGTAGTGAGAGCTCTGCAAACTCTGAGGTGCAGTCTATAGCTAGCCATCATCATTATTAGCAATAAGGTGTACTCACACAAGGAAATGTAGGAACCGGAGCAGGGGAGCATGATGAAAGTACGGGGGTGAAGGTAAACTGAGACAGCCTTACTGGAATCCTCTACAGAGAGGGAATCCCTGGAGGACCACCCAGGAGGGACGGGGCTTTCAACGGTCCCAACCTCTGGGGAAGCTCCGAGCACCCAACGATCTTCACAACTGGCCTGATTTCTTCCTTCAAAAGGAGCAAGAGCCAAGGCAAAGAACAGAGAATTGGTGTGAGGGTAGAAATGTTGGGAACGCTGCAGGGAGGCGATTGCTCCAACGGAGAATGTGGGGCAAAGGAGGAAACTGGGGCATTGTGTGACAGGTACCCTAGGCTGGGGAGAACAGACTTCAAAGGACTCAGAAGAGATAAGGGAGGACTGCACAGATTAAAATGCTATAGGCAAAGTCAGCCAAAGAAGGATGAGAAGGTCTGAAAAATGAAATGTGGAAAACACAAAGAAGACACTTGGATAAGGTAGGAAAGGAGTAGTTGTCTAAAGAGATCAATGTGAAGGCCCAAGGAACTCTATTAGTCAACTTGGATTTTTGAAAGTCACACAGGAAAACAGAAACAAAGGAGGGAACAGAGGATGAATACAAAATCATGGCACAGTCCTGGAAAAATAGCATCAGGAGGAAAAAGGAATAATGTTTGGAGATGTGCTGCTACTGTCAAGGAAAGCTAAGGCAAAAAGGGGAACAAAGAAAGGCTAGAGCTGCTACTTGGATGGATCCACTCAGTCAGTCAACAAGCATTTACTAAGCCCTGCCGTGGGCCAGGCTCTGTGGATGAGTCCACAGAATGATACAATCTGTACAAGGGCCTTACACACAAATGGGGAGTGGGAGCCAAGTACATCTACAGTGCCCAAGTCCAAGTAGATCAAAGTGATTCAATCGACGGGAGTCTGGGAGGGAGATTCAGGAAGGACAGAAGAGGGAGCTTGAGCTACACCTCCACAGAAAAGCCTTTTGGGCCCCCGGAGTCCTGAGAAACAGCGACAGAGAGAGAGCAGGGAGAACTACCTACCTAGTGCTTTGCTTCTGTTTCCTCTGCAAAGGAGACTGATTCTTGGACTGAAAAGGACAGAACATGAAAGACTGCCAGGAGGGCAGATACCCACAAGAAGCCTGGAGAGAGTGAGAAAGGACCTGGCCAGCAGTGATGAGTTCCAGTCACCCAGCCCAGACAAAGGACACGTCAGGGTACTGAAAGGAATAGAAGTGCGGATTGCTAAGCCACCGCCAAGTCTGAAAGGCAGAGAACAGAGTACCATGGAGGAGAGGTGGCTTTGGAGCCCTCAGAGTACCTGGGTTCAAATTTCACTTCTGAAGCTTACTGCCTGTATGACCTTAGGCAAGTCACTTAACATCTTGGAGTCAGTATCTTCACTGGAGAAAGAAGCAGGCTGAAATAGACTCTGAAGACCCTTCCAGGTCAACATCTGTGAGACTGCAAGAGAAATAGCATAGGCCTAGACAGAAGCAACACCCTAATTTTCCAAAAAGGAAGAGAGTAGATGCTGCAAACTATAGGGCAATAAGCTTGACTACAATTCCTGGAAAAATTCTAATATATGTTACTAAAGGGAAGGTTAGCGAACATTTAGAAAAGGAAGTAGCAATCACAAGAATCGCATGCCTCTTCAGCAAGAACACATGAACAATATTTTCTTTTTATTTTTGACAAGGTTACTAGCTTGACAGTTCAAAGGAACCCTGTAGCCAACATCTGACAAAGTCTTCTACGCTCTTCTTATGGACAACATGGAGAAATGTAAGCTCTATTACAGCTAGATTCAAAGGGTCTGAATGGTGAGAGCCTCAAAGGCAAACTAATGGCTTGATGGCAGGAGGTCTCCTGTGGACTGCCCTAGGGAACCAGGCTTAGCCTGGTACATTTTCCTCAATGAATTAGACAAAGACAATGATGACGTGCTTCTCACACTTGCCTTCATGGAAGAAGCAGGGACTCCATGCTGAATATGGGCACACATTCCATTTGATATACAATAAGAGCTGCATTCATACTAGCTTGCACAGTACTTTATATATATATATATAAGCTCAGTTATAAAATAATCCTGTGTTATTATTATACCCATTTTACAGATAAGGAATTGAAGCAAAGAGAGGTTATAAATAAGTGACTTGCCACAGGCATACAGCTGGTAAATATCTGAGGCTGGGCTGAACTCAGGTCTTCCTGCCATAAGTCCTTCACTCTATTCACTATCCTACCCACCCGCCTCAGTTAAGCAAGGGGAAGACGGCTCCCTCTGGAAGTCTGGTCTAGGTGGAGATCCCCCTGCCCCATGTTTTCACATGCCTTCCCCACTGTGGAGAGTCAGGCCTTTAGGGAACAAAGACAGATGTGGTGGTGACTTACCCGCCGGGCCCAGTTGATCAGGTCATCTATTTTGGTGATTACATACTCCCCCTTGCTGCTTGGGAGGGAGGAGGATTTGGGGACTATTGTCCCACTCTTCTTTCCCTCTGGGACAGGGCTGAGAAAGGGGGACACAAACACAAATTGAGATGTACAACATCAATGGGAAGAATCCTAAATCAAAACACTGCAGAAAAGGGGAAGCCCTGAAGCCAGCACATAGGTACACGTTGCTGACCTGAAGCTGACTTTCAAGGAGGGGATCAGTGGAGAGTGGGAAGATCAAGGCCACTTGTTTCATCCTTGGCCTAAGCCCCCAACCCAGTTTGAGGCCCAACTTTGGCTCTACTCTGAGAGCCCTCCAACCCCAGATGAAGCATCCCAACACGGACCTCTGACAGAGAACTGACTACAGGCAGCTAACCTGTGAATGAATAATTCTGGTCATAAGGGGAACTAGGAGAGATGAATGGTTCAATGCAAATCTGTTTCATTCCCTTCCTCTATCCAATCCCCACTGAGTCTTCTCTTCCCTTTCTCAAGAGCCTGTGATGCTCACGGGAAACTCTTGGAAAAGAAGAAGAGAAAGAACTAACAGGCCTCTCCTAAGAAGCTACCTTTTACCTGCTTGCATCTGTCACCGAACTCTGATGGAGCAGCTGAACCTGCAGGGCTGTGCTGGGTCTATTCAAAGGAACAGTCAAGAATTAGGAGAGAATTCAACATCATATCCCACCAAGGAACATAAGAATAGTTGAGTTCATTATCCTCTCAGATCATCTCCCTACATCTAGCCTAGGCTATATAGATGGTCTGATTCAATTTTCAATTGTCACAGGATGTCACATGACTGCAGATTTAAAATGAGACAGGGTCTTTCTTTGAACTAGACTAACTCCCTCATTAAGCAGATGAGGAAACTGAGGCACAGAAGAGGAAATAATTGGCCTGAGTTCACACCTTCCTAAAGCCCAGCTCTGATAATGTCCACTAACCTGCTCAAAAACCTTCAATGGCTTCCCATTGCATAGAAAACAAACTTTGCGTTTTACACTTATGGTCCTGTCTTACCTTTCTGGCCTTATCTCCTATTTTCCCCCTATAGTTATTAATTTCAGCCAAAAGGTATTTCTTGCCTACCCCCTCAAAGTGTCTTGGGCACTCCTGCCTCTGTATCTCGCCTGGTGCCAGGATAACTGCCACTAACTTCTGAGCTAATACTGGGCAGGCAAGTAATTTCCCTGAGGACCTTAAGTCTCCTCATCTGTAAAATGAAGAGACTGGACTACAGGATTGCCAAATTCTCTTTGATATCTAAAATTCTGACTCTTGGGGCAGCTAGGTGGCGCAGTGGATAGAGTACCAGCCCTGGATTCAGGAGGACCTGAGTTCAAATCCAGCCTCAGACATATAACACTTACTAGCTGTGTGACGCTGGGCAAGTCACTTAACCCCATTGCCTAACCAAAAAACCCCCCCAAAAACACATTAATTTAAAAAAAAATTCTGATTCTTTTTCTGCTCCCATAAAAACACTGTACTGTTCTCTGCTTGGTAAAATATCAGAAACCACAGCACTCACCGAAAACTAAACAATCCATACCGGGCCAGGCGAGGAACTGCAGGCAGAAACCACAAGAAAAAAGAACTTTAATAGCATGCCAATTTAATTACTGCAAGTGGGGCAAAAACTAATTACAATTTTATAATTATTATCATGCCCAAATTGTTAAAAGATCTAGAGAGAAAGGTCTTCAGCACATGGGTAGATGATCTATGAAAGATTTATGGGAAGCCAAAGACAGGACCAGAATTGCAAAGGGATTTCCTTGAAGGCTCAGCTCATGTGCTACCTCCTTGGGGAAGCATTTCCTGATCCCCTAGTACCCTCCTCCTTCTCCTCTGGATTTATCTTGTATGTTCTGATTTATATATACTGTCTTCCCCATTAGAATATAAACTCCAGAAAGGGAGAGGTTGTCTTCTTCTTTGTGTCTAGAACCCAGTAAAGCACTTAATCTAAAGCAACCATAAAAGAGATTGTTGATTTAAAGAACCACCAAGTGACATAAGGTTTAACTTCGGTTCCCCAAGCAAGTTTGCAAAAGGAACTCCACGAGGCAGGAAAGAGTGAAGAGAAATGAGAGATGGGACAGTTTAGGTAGGATTTCGATGACAGAAATATATGGGCAACAAGAAAAGCAAACTGGGGGTCATAATGTGAGAGAGCAAATTGACCTCACAGGTTTGGAGAAGGGCACCAAGTCTTGTAGGATGAGACAGAGGGATGGACTAGGAGTCAGGTAGAAAGGAGATATCTGATTACCAGCTGTTTGAGGACAAATCATTTCGATTGTTTCCGCTGGCATTATAAGGCTCTCTAAAGTTCGCAAAGTTTTACAAGTACTACTTTATCCTCACAACCACTCTGGGAGGTAAGTGCTATTATTCTCCCCATTTTACCGAGGGGGAAACTAAGGCAGAGAGAGGTTGACCTTCCCAGGGTCACACAGCTAGCATCCATGTCTGAGGCTGAATTTGAACTCAGGTCGTCCGGACTCCAGGCCCCGCACTGCTATGAATGGTAATGACGGCCCTTCTGAGTTTATACAGTTCTTTGCCAGGTGGTTACTCCCCGCACCTCGCTCAAGGTCCTTGGGAATGAGAAGCAAAGACTCAAACCCAGGGCTCTTCCTGAAGTCACGCACTCCCTTTAAAGCGAGTTACAAAGGCCAGTTAGCACCGGCTGCCCCGAGCAAAGGATCCGCGCTTTCGGTCAGGAGAAGAGCACCTGGCGCAGGTAAGTCGAGGCTCAGAGGTGAAGGGTCGGAGGTTTGCTCACAAGAGTTCCCGGCCTCAACCGTTATTCTTGACAACAACTCAATTCTATTTACATTTGCGGGTCCAACGTGGTGCAATAAACACAGGCTGGGCACAACTGAGTGGAAAAAACCCCAAGGTCGGCAGGGGCCCACGGTCAGCAAGCGTCGAGGCTGGGGCGCGCGCATGCGCCGCCGGCTCCCCCGGGGCCCGCCCCCGCGGCGCTCCCCTCCCCCGGGAGCCCTGAGGGCTGAGATCAGCCAAGCCACCGGGCTGGGGACGGGGTAGGGGCCTAGCTACGGTTGCCCGCCCGGCCTCGCCACCCTCCCGCCCCCCGATGCCCCAGCCCCGGGTTCTCTCTCTGCTCACCTGCCAGCGCCGCCGCCATCTTGTACACAGCCTTCAGACGACCTTCACGGGTCCTCCGCTCTAACCGTTCCGGGTTGGAGGGGATAGGCGGCGGAAGTGTGTCTGGGTGGATTGTTCCGTGAGTGTGGAAAAGCGGAGAGGGGGAGGGGAGGAGGAGTGCACTTCCCAAAGAGGCCCGGCGCCTCGAAGTGGCCACCGCAGCCGCGCGACTCCGGGTTCCGCCTCCTCCTGCCCCTCGAACCCCGCCGCCAGCCAGGACTACCCCAAGGGGGTGCTCCTGGGTGCTCTGGTGATACGGGCCGCTCAACCAATCTGGAGAATAGGGCATATGTTATACCTCTTAGCCTCCCTCTCGAATCCCGGGCCGGGCCCTTCCTCCCTCAGCTCCCTCCATCAGCCTTTAAATCCTCGTCCTTCCCCAAAAGGAACCAGTACTGAGGTCCTCGGTTTGCAGCCTAAGGCCTTCTGGGAAATCTTTTCTAGCTATGAAAAAAGTTATCACGTCCCTGGGTGGGCTCGAACCACCAACCTTTCGGTTAACAGCCGAACGCGCTAACCGATTGCGCCACAGAGACAGAGCTAGAACAATTGGTTCCGCAGCTCGTAGTCATGGCTCTTCTCGCTGTGCCTGTCCCGGAAATCTGAGCACCCATTCCTGAAGTCGTGGAATGGCAGAGTTCCAAGGGGAATCTCGGGGGCTGGAGCATAGAATCTCAGAGGGCACCTTAGAACGAAGGATATCAGACCCGGGAGGACTCTTAGAACCCAGAACGTCCAAGCTGGCAGGGCCCTTAGAATGGGCATGTCAGGGCTGGGAGGGCCCTTAGAGCATTGAATGTCAGAGATGGGAAGGGGAAATCCCAATTGGGAAGGACCTGGACCTTTTCAGATTATCTACTCCAATTATGGTTCTACCCTGAGTTTTTAGTACTTTCAACTTAAGGGAAAAAAGAGGAGGGTGGAAAACTCCTTTTAGAACTTCTGATAGATAATACCTCATTAAAAGTAAGGTTAAAGAAGGAAGCAGCCCGGAAGTGTCAGCTTTCACTGAATGAGGATAGTGAACAAAGCATTTTGCGCAGCCGAAATAGCTCAGTTGGGAGAGCGTTAGACTGAAGATCTAAAGGTCCCTGGTTCGATCCCGGGTTTCGGCAGTAATTTTGGCTAGTCTGGGTTTACCCTGGCTACGTTTAAACAGACCCCGTTTTACTTGTAAAGATCTTCAAGACATCCTTACACCGTTACCCTGGGGTTGCAATCCCCAGCTTTATTCACCACACCTGGCTTCTCAAAGGGAAAGTTCAGCTGCCCCTCCCCCAAACCTCCCGTCACTCCTTCCGAGTGCTCGGAAGTCCGGAGCTAGGCTTCCTGCAATCTAGCTGGGAACCCAGGTTGGAATGGGACCGCAGGGGGATCTCCAAGAGAGGAAGGCATGGTCCCAGGAAGGCCTCCAATCCAACAAATCTAATCAACGTCTATTAAGCGAGTGGAAATACCAAGGAGGGGCAGCGTCTACCTTTAAGAGACCACGGAAGATCCAAGTCCCTGCCTTGGCAATATGACCACCGCAGGCGGGTGAACTCTACCCTCCCAGGCTGTCTCTTCCCCCTGTGCGATGGGAATAGGAAGGTTGGCGTGATCCGCCCGACCGGGTTGCTAAGAGGAATGGCTGTACTTTGTGGAGCAGGCTATATATGGATTGCAACATTAGCATTTTTAAATCCCTCCTCCAAGAAGCCTTCCTTGACTGCCTCCTGTTCTGCACTTCGAGGGCTATGGCTGTACGTACAACTCAGCGTGATTCTCGGGTGTTTCCTAGAGCCAGTCCTGAATTTGGAGTCAGGGGCCCTGGGTTCTGGACCATTGCAAAGCAGCCCCTGTGGGCTCCCTCATGCTTCTGCGGCATATCCAATCCTTCCCAACGCGGCTCCGACCAGACGAACCTTCTGGGCTTGACTGCCCCTGCCTCTGACATCCCCCCAACCCGTGCAGCTCGTGGTCCCTGTGCCTGGTACCCAGCTCGTGGTCCCTGTGCCTGGTACCCAGCGCAGCGCCCTGGCTCGGCCCGAAACGCCCAGGTCCTCGCCTGCGCCTCCTTCAAGATGTAACCCACGCATCACCTCGCCCAGGAAGCCGGTGCTGATCCCCAAGCTGCCAGTGCCCTCACCTCACCAATTATTTTGAAATTATTGTTCCATGTACATCTCCCCACAAAATGCAAGCTCCTCCATGCCAGCGACAGTGTCATTTGTGTCTTAGCAGGGAGCTTTCCTAAGTGTCTGTTCAGTGGGCAAGGCCCAGGATTAGGAATCAGTGGGTTTGGCTTTAAATGCCAGTTCTGCCCCTTACTACTTATGTAACTTTGGCCAAATCACTTGTTTCTCTGTCTACGTTATTTCTTCATCTCTAAAATGAGAGTTTGTACTAGAAGCCTCAGAGATCCCTTCCAGTGTACAGACATTTCCCTATGAATGACCTATAAAATATTCAACACACCCAAGTGTGCTTAAAATTAAGCTTCCTTGAAAACATATATTTCTTACCTAATTAGGCACTGGCTTCTCATCTATAAAATGGGAATACTTCTTGCAATATAGAGCTGAAGTATCATGAAGTTCAAATGAAGATAACGTATGTGCAGTTATTGCTATATAAACGCCAACTACTATCAGTGATCTTTGACATTCTTCCCATTAAAAACTCCAATAGTTGGTCCCCTCCCCCCAGTATGACCCCCCCCATCCCTAACAAAAAAAAGCCCACAAACTGTATCAATTATCTTTTAATTTTACATAAAAGCTCTTAGACTTGGGGAACAGCAGGGACAATTACTCGGCAATTTTAATGTTACACATCAAAATGGTTTGGAATAAATGACCAGAATTTTTTGCATTCTGACAGATTCCTTACACACACACACACACCCACATTTGACCTTGTCACCTACAGCAGTTTGATTTTTAGCACAGTATTAAAAATGGTTATGGCACTACCTCCAAGGTCAGTGTTGTTTTTATCAGCACAAGGTGAAATGCTTTTGAACTAACCGATTGCAACTAGAAATGGTTAGTTAAATTGTCTAGGCTTCTTGCATGAAGAGGGATGATAGCTTTGCTATAAAAACAAGTGCCCATGCTGTAAAACCGCTGTGGGAAACATGGAAAGCTTATTCTCCTGATACAAGAAATCTCTATCTCCCCTTGTCCCATTTCTTCCTGTGTTTGTCTTTGGGGATGAAGAGGGCTCTTTTTTCATTTGTCCATGGATGAGCTGTAGTACACAATTTCAAACACTGTTGAGAGTGGCACGGCAAGATCCTTTCTGATCTGTGAATGGCTCTGCAGCTGTGTATCCAGACCAGTTACTGATTCACATTCCCTGGGAATATTAAGATGGAGACTGAGGAGAAAGTGTGTTTCTTTTTTATGCTGGAGGAAGAGACTGATGAGATGATGTGGAAAAAAGTCAAACAGATCAAGGACAGTGGCTGCAGACTCTCAGACCTCTGAATTTACCAATTCCAGGAATTTATTTAGTAGAACCATAAACACGGAAAATACTTAAACAATTCATTTGGATTAAATGGCAAAGGAAGGTGAAATAATAATAATAAAAAGAACCTCTATTGCTTAAAAATGGGATTTCTTTTTAGACTTCTTTGATTTTACTCAAGGGAAGAAGGCTATTTACAAGCACAAATATTCCCTAGGTTGTGCAAAGAGAACAGCATTGAAATTAACTCACATCTCTCTTTCTACTTTGTATACTTACAAATTCACTTTGAAAATGGTTACAGCCTATTATAAGTTATCACTGGCTTATAATGACCTTAGTGTGACTCAGGCATGTGCAAGTTATGTCCTCTCTCAAAAAAGAAACAGTAACTTAGTGACAAATTTTTAGTGCAATTGACTAATTGGAATTATATTCACATATGCTTATTAACACTAGACTCTAAAGCTATACTGAGACTAAGAAAATAGATGTCTTCCCTCTGCCCCCAACCCCACTCCCAAATCCAAAAATACAATCTTTTAAGATTCCCTAATCATTATTAAGGAAAAAAAAAAGATATGCATAGCAATTTCATAAATATATACACACACATATACTCTATAACAAATACATGTGTTTATATATATATATGCATAAATATATATACATGCACATATATAGCAAGAATATGTGCAATTAATACATACTAGGATATAAAATTCTACTAAGTTCATGTTTATACCACATTTTAGCATTCATATTCACACCAAGAATCTGAAAAGTAAATTTAACTTCTCTAACATTTCAAATCCACAGAAATCAAACTTTCATATCAATCTGGACCTGAATCACTCATCAGTTTGAGTCTTTTGTTACCAATAAGACGGTCCTTCCTAAATTTGAATGGCCCAAACCTATTAGAATCCGAAGATTCGACTGCTAATATTTCCAGGGTCTAGACATTGATGGCTGTTCTCAGAAAAAATGCAACTGTTTCTAATGCCAACTTATCTCCCAACAAATGATCTAGATAAACCTTAAAGAGGAGTGTTTGACTTTCCTATAATGCATTACCCAGAAAGCCTGTGGGGATCAAACTAAGATGATCAGGTCAAATGAACCAGTCTGCTGATACAATGAAATCTAGCTGTCACAATGCCTGAGACCAAGGCTTGCCAGGTTAAGATTCAGTCACAGCCAAAAAATGGAGATGCACATGGGAAGGTGAGATAAGTAGTGAGAGAATCTGGCCCGGGGCTATCAAAATGGTTGACAATACAATGTAATTTCATTCAGTCACACATTCTTGAAAAATGCATGATTTGTAAGCATTCACAGATCCATTCTCACTATGGATTACTTGGAAAAGCTCCATTTAAAATAGTTATGATAATACTGCAACTTATACTTTCTTGCACATACAATTGTGGTTATTCTGTTAAAATAAGAAAACATCTCTGCCTCAGGTTTCACCTCTTGGAGGTAATTTCTTCCCAAAATGAATATAAAGAGAGTAGGGGCAGGGAAAATATTTAAGAGGAAGTCCAACATATTGAATATCAATGAAGCAATATTTTAAAAAGATTGATGTTTATGGAATTACATATCCCAAACCTGTATTAAAAAAACAACACTTTAAGACTGATACCAGTGATTTCTTTCAATATCAAAAAAAAAAATCAACACATAATTTACACTAAATAGGACAGCACAATAGTAACCAGAAATGCTACAAAATGTGTTGGTCTCTTCAAACATTAATTACCCAGCAATTACAAATTTCAAAAAAGGATGGGGGTAGGAAACTGGCCTGCAGTATGTTATAAAAATAGAAATGCACACTACTGACTACTTTTGTAAACAGCTTTTCTAAGGAAAGATTCCCTGAAAATTCATAAGCAGTGCCATAGAACACATCCAAGGGATATATACTCCCAGACCAACAACAGACATATCCAAAATTAGTAAGAATTAAAAACACTTTGAAAGCTCCCATTTCCACAAAACATATTTATAGTATAAGAAGAATTTTACACAGAAAGATCTCTTACTAACTATACCTATGAGTCAACTTAGAACACAAAGGTTTCCTGTTATGGTTTTGACACATCTGGAGACATTTCTGGAAAAGCTGGTTCAGTCTTCAACAATGTTAAGTTCCTTGTTTTTTCTCTAGAAGTTCTTTATCAAACATTTCTCTTTCCCTGAAGGAAATAAACATTAAATCAGGATTCTTTTATATCAAAGGATATTTCATTTTAAAACTCTATGAATTTTGTCATCTTTAAAATAATCAAACTCTTCAATAAAAGAATCATAAACTAATAAAATATTCACTCATGATTCATTAAGAATAACGACCTCCTTGAAATAATGTTTATGATTACACAAATAAGGCATACACACACACACACACACACACCCCAAAATGTTTTTCTCCTGCTTCATGAAGTGCATTCCCCAAAGGAAATAAATAGGGCTTGGGATCAGAAAATAGAGACCTAAGCTCTTCCTCTGCCACTTCCCAGCTGTATGACTTTCACAAAGTCATTTTCTTGTTTGCAAAATAAAGAGCAAGCTATTTCACAGGGTGGTAGTGAGGATAGGTTTTAAAGTATGAAAAGTACTTTCGAACCATAAAACTCTTAATATACATTTTAGATTGCAGAATCAATGACCAAATTTGGTTATCGATCTATCGATCCATCTATGTATAATTTGATACTATATACAACACAACCAATTTATTGTTTATTCACTCCATAGTAACCTTAGAGTAATACATATCACAAACGTATGGCATAAAACCATCACCTGAATATCAAAAATCATTAATTCTCTTCCCTATTTCTTTACTTTAGCAATTCTTCATTATAGTTACTTCAGACATAATTTAAAGTTTAAAAAAAAGTGTTACTTATAAAGAATCACTACAATTTCCATCTCACTTTTTAAGGTTCATGTAACTGCTGCAAATATTATTATCCTCATTTTATAAAGGAAGAAACAGAGGCAGCAAAGGAGTACAGACTTTCAAGCTAATAGCCATTGGGGAAGAGATGCTCTCAAGTTAAAAACCAAACAATTTATTGTCTGCAAGGAGCCTAGGATCTAACAGTCTTACCTAGAGGCCCAAAGCTGTGAAGCAGCAGAGCCAGGGCTCAATGAACATCTGCTGACTTCAAGTCTCCCAGCTTTATCCACTATGTTAAGCTGCCCCCCTAACTTTTGAGAATGTTTAGTTCCTGCCAAGTGAGGAAACAATCTCTGAAAAAATTTTAAGATTGTCTGGATGTAGCAGTTCAGGGACAGATTCTAAGAGAAAGAAGGGCATGAATAGGCCAAAGGAATGCTAAGGCTGGAAGGAGAGTGCAGTTGAGAGGGCCTCGGGATTTTAGCACTACAATAGACCTTGAAGGTTCCCAGCCTAAGCTTCTCATTTTACAGATGTGGAAAATGAAGGCTCAAGAAGTGAGGGGCTGGAGCCTGAGGTTAGACAGACTACACAGACCTAGAGATGGAAGAGAAGGAGAACAGTTTCAACTTCAATGCTTTTCCCATAAGCCCATGGGCTGTCTTCGTGAGGAGAGGAGAGACCTAGGTCAAGTCTTGGCTTTGCAACTGTCATCTTGATGCTTCCTACCAGTGTGGCTTGGGCCAAGTTTCTTAACCTCCCTAGGCCTCAGTTCCATCATCTATCAAATGCGTGGGAGTAAAGACTAGACTGCCTCTGAGGTCCCTTCCATATTAAGATCTAGGATGTTAGCACTTGAAGCAAATGGAGAAGTCAGTTACTCAATCTCATCTGCAGTACGAGGAGTTTGGATATGTTTCCCTTCCAACTTTTTGTTATTCTTCACTAAGATTAACAATCGTCTCATAAAGAAGTCAAATTTAGGTCCATGGGGCAGTTTAACATCCAGCTCTCTCTCTCTCTCTCTCTCTCTCTCTCTTTTTTGGCTTTTTGGTGAGGTAGTCAGGGTTAAGTAACTTGTCCAGGGTCACACAGCTAGTAGATGTCAAGTATCTAAAGCCGAATTTGAACTTAGGTCCTCCTGACTCCAAGGCCAAAGTCCTATCCACTGCACCATCTAGCTGCCCCTCCAGGTCTTCTTAATTTAAAGAAAAGAGTTTCCCAGAGTTATTCAGCCTGCCTAAGTTCTACTTGGCCTTTTAAAAACTCTGCAATGGCTAAATGTTTTTTGGCAGTGAGACCTCTTAGCTGATTAACCATCCATAATTCATAAGTAAGCATTCATTTTCAGAAACTACACAATAAGGCTATGCCTATATGATTTAAGAATTTCAAGTTCATTTCTTTCCTAGTCATCTGTTCCATGAGATGACCCAATTATCTATGATTCTGACCTACCTATTCAACATGTTAAAAAAAAAAAGCCTTCTACTTAAGACTGACCAAATTAGGTTTTTGTCTTCAGTCTGTCATTTGGCTTGTGTTTTATATATGTGTTTTATATACCCATTTTTATATATGTGTTTTATATATCCATTAGCTCCTAATTCACTAGCTAGACCTTTAAATTCAAGACTAAACACCTCAATTTCCCATAATGTTTTTAATAAACATTCTGCCTCACTGATCTGAACCATTAGGAACTACAAGAGCATGTCTGAACCAGTTCCAAAAGGTTTGCTTGTTATATGCCAGAGGTGGGCTAGTAAAAGCTTAACAACTGGCTCTTGGGGGGAAGGGGAGCCAGGGTAGGGGAATACGCCCAGCACTCTAAAGTTTAATTTGCATTGTTAACATTCTCTTTCTCAGCATCAACATTAAGCCTAGATGATGAGCAAAACAACAAATCAAGCCCTGATTTTTGAGTCTGCTGATATCCAAAGTATAAATGCTCACACTGAACAAGTGGCTCTGAGGAGCTGGTTTGAGCTGGCCCCAGCATACTCTTAATGGGACCATTCCAATCTTGACCTTGTGATTCCCCAAGAAAAATTAATCCCCCTGAAAACCAAAAAGGTAGGAGATTCAAGTATCTCCTAGTCCTGACGTTTTTTCTTTTAGGTGCTCACCCGAATTTATCCTTATTTTCAAAGTCACATAACCATTCTAGGAATCAGACATTTGGACTACAGTAACACCGCTGCCTAATGTTAACTTGAAATCAAGTCTTCCCTATTCCAAAGGCCAGCTTTCTCTTTACTACTCCACACTTCAATCTTCTTAATTCACACACTTTACAAAATAAATTGCCTTGAAATATTAGAGGAAGGAATAATTTGCAACAATATAAACTACACAGAAGCAAACCAACAATCAGGACTGTTAAGGCTGCCTAATTTCAAGTACCAGCTCAGATAACAACCACCTGATTTTCACGTTGGGCATCTGGGCAAATGGTCGTTACAATGGATTAAGGCTCGTAAGTGCAATATTTGTTGGGGCATGCTCATACCTTTTAGAGAGTAGATAAATAGAGATCATTTAAAACAAAATCATAATAACTGCTGGAAACAAAGACTTTGGAAATCTCTTTTTAAATGGTGTGGAAATGTTAGCAGCTTCATACCTTTTGCTCACAGACGGTCCTTTTATATATTTCTCTTCAGCTGTCTGGTAGTCTATTTCATCAGTTGCAGATATCGCATAAATGACTGCCTATAAAAGATAATGCCATAACACTTCATCACACTCAATGGCAAAGAGGAAGAGCCACAGCCTGAATTACCCCGAATGTTGTTTTGATGGAGTCTGGTAATTAGTTCACTGAACACATAAGTGTTTCTGTGGATATTTTTAGTTTATCTTTAAATAAGGAATTCACATTAAGAAGTACCTGATAATATTATTCTGATAATTCCCAGAATCTCAGGGTTAAAGGGGGACCCAAGAGGTCATCTAGTCCAACCCATGACTGAGCAGGAATCCCTTTAAGAACGTGTCTGATAAATGCTCATGTGGCCCGAACCATACCACTGATAGCAGCTGATCCTTATTCAGACCACGCTAATTTTTAGTAAGTTTTCCCTCATAGTGAACTGAAATCTGCTTCTCTGTGACTCCCACATTTTGCTCCCGCTTCTGCCACGTGAAGCCAAGCAGAATAAGTCTAAATTTTTTTTTTACATAATGGCTTAAAAATACTTGAAAACAGGTATTTCCCACAGTATTCTCTTCTCCAGGTAAAATTTCTTAGTTCTCTCAACCAATTTTTGTATGACACAGTTCCCAGTTCCCTCCAGAACTGGCTAGAATATTCTAGAGGAGGTTCCACTAGGCATGAAGACAGACGGAATATTATCTCCCTCATGCCAGATAATGAGACTGTTATGGTACTCCATCCAAAGGGCAGCAAGAGCACACACAAGATATACATGGCTCACTTTATTATCATTAAAGAAAACTTTTAAAATACAAATTGGATATCTATTTAGTCTCCAGTTGCAAAATGGCCAAGAGATTTGATATAATGGTGAAAACCCGCTTACTCGGTGAAGACTTCTGATGGCACTGGAGAGAAAACAGGTTCTAATCATTAGAAAACTGATTTACAATCTCCAAAATAGATGTTCCATGCTGCCAGCATTCTAAGTTACACGTATAAGCTTTTTGGGTAAGACTGCAAGGACAGCTCAGCCGTGCCCTACTTAATTAAAATGTATTTTCAAACATATTTCGGTTTCTACATAAAGAACCTTCAGACTGCTGTGCTGAGCAAAATGGTACGGCACTTAAACTCTTCAGCTCAATCATCACTTAATCCTTGGAGTGGGGATCTTGCTGGGCCAACAGGCAGGAGAACCCCAAGCCAAAAAATCAGAATCTGATAAAGTCAGCAACTTACTTCAGGCAAAAGAACATTCAGAATAAATTTTATTCCATCGCCATTTATTAGCTTCAGCATTTTGCTGTCTATTTCTTGATAGATTCCTTGTAAATATTTCACCACAAGGTCCAACTGCTCATCATCCTCAAGGTATGTTTCAACACACTTCATGTACTGACTTGAATCCAAAAATTCTTTCAGCCACCTGGATTTTTTTCTGCTTTTTAAAATAGCCAAGAGATGGTTCTCTGCCCCCTTTTCATTCACTATGTATTCCACTAACTTCTCATTGGCCTTGTCTCTGGCTGCCCTCCTTCGGTCTGGAAGGACTTTCTTGAAAAGCAGCTTTTTGTTCAAGGAAGTATCAGGCAGACCGTCTTCAGGGTCTTCCTTGTTCAGGATGGGAAACACCGTTTTGATGGGTGCTTGCCGCATTCCTTTTCTCACCGGAACACCTAAAAGGTACATCAGCTTTAAAAGTAAAATAGTTTACCATTCAAACAAACAACAGAAAACAAAGACACATTCAGTCGATAAAACTCTACTTTTTTCCCCAGGGGACAAGCAAGATTTTGTAAACATACTAAGATTCTAGATTTTCACAGAGAAGAGGAAGATTTCATGTAAGACGGGCAGGGTGTTTCAAGAAGCTTTTACTCTTGGTACTCTCAGAATGGTCTGGATACATGACTGGATCCCCCAAATATCCAATTCTGCTTCTCCTACATGCAGTGCAGTGCAGTGCAGTTGGGTGGTCCCTCCTAGATACTACTCACATTCCTATTCCTGCTTTCAGATTAAGTAAGACTTTCCTTAGAACTACTTCACGAGCTATGGAGTACAAGCAGTGTCTCATTATTTAGATAAGGAAACCAAGGCTTGCAGATTAAGTGACTTGCCCATGATCAAATAGCTAATAACTGTTGGATCGCTGCCAATAATGAAGCAAGACTCAATATACAAAGCTGCTAAACTTCAGTCCAGACCTCTGCACGTCAGCAAGAGGGGGCGAGCCTCCTACGAGCTCTGCTTGATTGAATCTGGAGCTTTCCCCACATTCCTGCCCAAGGATGCCCAGTGTTTTGGGTTTCTTTGGTTTGCTGCTGTTGTTGTTGTGAACTCAGCTCCGGATGAATAATTACCAGAGAGACTGACTTCTCTCTGCCCATGAACACAGAGCCCCAAACCAGCTTGCCCCAGCCTGTGGTTTGCTCTAGAGAGGGGGGCTGGGCACTTAGGGAACTGGAGCCAGCTGGCCCTGGTCCAACAAATACTCTCTTGGCAGTAGGGAAGCCATGCCCCTAGAGAGTCTGGCTAACTTCAGTGAGGCAATTAACAGAGCAAAGCACTGCATCTAATGAAGAACTCTTCTTCTGACAGAATTCCTGATCCTTCATGAGAAAGAGCCATTTACTTTTCACATTGCCAAATTAACTTCAAGCAAGTAGGAGAAAGGCCCCAACTTCCCAGACAAATAAATTAATCTTAACTCCTTTCATGGCAGGAAGAACGGATGTCAACAAATCAGTATGTTAAAGTGACAAAATTTATGCAACTGAATTATGCTTTATATAGCCCACAATCTAAATCTGTGTTACTGTGAAACATTTCATTAACTCTGTTATCACCAGAGATTTTTCTCTAAACAGTGTCAGGACCGACCACTGGGGTGCACTGAGCGCTTCCTACCTCAGGCCCATGAGCAAGGGACACAGAAATAGTCATGGTGGTGGTGGTGGCACTCCCCCCTCAGCCCTGGGCAGCTGCCTTCTGTGGGAATTGAGGGGAAGCCTTCCCTGCTCTAAGCTAAAAACCTGAGCGGAATTTGAAACTGCCCTGAGGGCACCAAATTCAAACTTGGTCCCACAGGCCAATTTACTCCGAGTAGACTACAGGAGAGCCAGCAAGAACTCCTGCTGTGCTGACTGCTTCCGTGCTAACAGAGTCCACTGGATGGCATTAAATACTTCTCTGTTTTTGAAGGATAAAGAAAGACAGAATTAGAAAAGCATAGCTGTACTTACTAATATCAGCAGAATAATATTCCAGGAAAGATCCTGCAAAAGAACCACAACCTGTACAAAAGAAATGTAAAAAGGGGATTGTTCACACAAATAGCTAGCCACTTAAGAAGGATTTTTTTCTACATCAAAATACCTGGTATTTGGGTGTTTGCTATTCTAAGACTGACCCAGACAGCCCTTGTCCAGCCATCAATGAGGAGGCAGTAATGGAAAACACTTATTATTTTGGGTCTCGGCTAGTCAAAGTGATATTTAGTATTTTTTCCAAGTGTAAGCCTCCCTAGAGGTGGATGGATAGAGCAAAGCTAGGATTCAAACGTCCTCCTTGTGGAGAGACTTCAAGGAGAAACTAACCTTTTGTTTAAACCACTCTTCCCTTTTTTCAGATGCGAGTTTATGCTACTAATGCACATCCCTGTCCATTTACCTCAAGTCATGGGGAACCATGAATACACAATATAGTAAAATTTCAGTTACCCTGGAGATAGAGGAGAGTGGGCCCCATACCTCTTCCAAGACTTTGGAAAATGAAGAACTGCTCAGATAAGTAAAACAGAACCTAGAAGGATCATAAAGTTTAATTCCCTGCCTTTAGGCAGCTTCAGCCAAGAGGAGAGGAAGACCTATTTTGCTCTTAATCATTTTTAAGAAAAAGAACTCTACAATCTCCCCCTTCCCAAACAACCCTCAATTTTCTAAACTAAATGAATTAAAAAATACCTCAGAGCTCACTTTCTTCTGTCCTACTCTTTGTGGATTAATATTAACAAATTTTAAAGGCTTTCATATTCTTTAATTTTACTAATAGCACGGGGTTCCCTCGCTTACCAATTCGAATTCTGTAGTCAGAAATCAGCTTGATACACCAGTCAACAGCCTGACTGTAATCCTCCTTGGCTTTATCCTGTAATCAAAATCCAACAGTTTAGCATTAATAAAATCCGCAAGTGGCTGAGTATCTGAATAAAACACAATAAACATTTGATATGTATGAAGTGAAAAGTGGAAGAAAAGCAGGAAAAGCTTATTCAGCAAGTGGGGAGTTCCTTTCCAATTTCATCTTCCAGTACAGAAACACAGCCTTATGCCTCATAAAGACTGCTTCAGTAAACGACAGCTTTTTCGAGTCTTTAAGGAAAGCAGTCCTCTGCAAGGGCATATTAACCCCTTCCCACACTCCTCCAGCAGCCCTGCTTGTCCCAACTTGGTAAAGGGCCCCAGTGCACTGAGATCAATTACCAGCCTGACCCAGCTGCTCTTCAAGTTTCCGTTTCCATCAACAGCCTTCCTTTCACAATTCACCTAACTTCAGACAGCTTTCTTTTAAGGTTATATGCAATTAAAGCTCATCTTTCTGAGCAGCTCTTGCTAGATAAAAGCAGAGCTTGCAGCCTCAAGAAAAAGGGGTTAATCATTTAAGATTTGGCATGTTAAGTAGCAGACACCAGAGCCACAGAGAGAAGAGCTGGGCTGCAGACAATTCACCGGGCCGAAGAAAAGGGCCCCCGTTACGGTAGGGATTTCTAGAAGCATTTGCCACAGTCTGTTCCTACGAAAGCTCAATGCCTACTGAATTTAGTGTGGAGGAAGAATATTGTACTGTACACTGCAGAGACACAAAGACCCAGAAAAACAAATGGATGGAACTTTGAAGAATCAGCCTCAACATTATGTATCTTAAACACTCAGGGCAAAACAGTGGCAACTGATTAAGAGCAACATTTTCAATAATAGTATTTACTTCCTTTTAATTTAACAAGCAAATACTCCAACATAATGATGGTATGAAACAACTGTATCCTTTACACCATCACTTTCAAACTGTGTTTAATACTGTTACTAAGCATACCCAGATGGCCAAATATTTACCCCCCATTTTATATCATAGTTGATTATGGTGAAGAATTGGTTCAGTGTACTTTACACATTTCCTTGTTGGGCCAAGATACTGCTTTATTCTTACAGCTTTTAAGGGGGAGAAGCATTCAAGTACAGATGCAGAATGTCAGTGTGTAGTGCTGTCCAGAACCTCCTTCGAGCTGGAACAAGGGTAATATTTTGAGAAGCCAAAAAAAAAAATCAAACAAGAGTGGTACAAAGTTAGTTTAATGAAGGTATACAAAGTAGTGCTAGTGAGGCTCAGCAGCTAAGTGGAGGTGGGATGGAATATTCTGAGAAAAAGGTTACACGTTAATGGATAATTGATTATAGCAAATTAAGCAGGTGTTTTCCATTTTTATGCTTAGACGTGGTAAAGGTTCCTCATGAGAAAACATTTTCCCGTGGTCCTTTAGGATAGAAATCTCTGGTCCTACCCATAGCTGTTTGCAGCAAGGCCAAGTTGTCTAGAAGTATAGCAAAGTAAGGCAGGCTTAGAATCTTTATTGCAGATTAGAACTGTGCTCCCTTAAAGGGTGATTGATCCAGGGAAGGATAAAGTAACAGGAAGAAAAACAAAGAAAAAACTGCTATGCCTGTGGGTACACAGATGTATTTTTAGGTAATAAAGTCAATGCTTATATATTCAAGAGCTGAGATATTTACTAGCGTGGGCAATCTCTCTAGAAACACATATCAAAGACTTCTCTCTACTTTAGTAAATGGTTTCTCAAGTTGCACTGGCCGAATACAATTAGTTAACCTTAGGTGGTTAACTCAAGCTTCTCTGTACTTAGCTGGGCTAGTCCTATAAAAGACACAAAATCGAAAAAGGCTTTCTGGATTGGTAGGGCCGAATACAATTAGTTAACCTTAGGTGGTTAACTCAAGCTTCTCTGTACTTAGCTGGGCTAGTCCTATAAAAGACACAAAATCGAAAAAGGCTTTCTGGATTGGTAGGGCCGAATACAATTAGTTAACCTTAGGTGGTTAACTCAAGCTTCTCTGTACTTAGCTGGGCTAGTCCTATAAAAGACACAAAATCGAAAAAGGCTTTCTGGATTGGTAGGACCCACCATAGCCCAGAGTCACCTCAGTGCTACAACAAAACACTGGAGTACAAAGGACTGCTCCATTATCTTAGAAGCCAATTTTATGTTATATAAATGAATGGCCTCTTCTCCATGTACCTATTAAAAGTCCAGATCTAAAAAGAGATTAATTCCCTCCCTACTCTCACACCTGGAGATCACTGAAGACCATTCTACACACCTGTCTACCTTCAAGTATGTTTGCTGACAAATAAGGATAGAGAGGAGAGGGGGAAGTGTCAACCACGAATAGAGCTCAAACCAAGAAATTAATAAATTGTTAATACAAGAACTGCTAGTATTTGATAAGTGAATTTGTATTTCGAATACGAAACTATATTGTAAATGTGTGTAAATGGGCACAGGCCCCTTTAAAAGAGATCTGGAAGTTAAGATTGCAGTATTGGAAAATGAGGTTCTGACTGAGGTTACCAAATGTGAAAGGGGTCCAGGATGAAAATGACAAAAATGACATCAATTAACAGAGACTATGGGCCAGTATGGGCTGAAGGCTAGCTGTAAGGGAAATTAATATCTTTAGCCTCGACAGGGAAAGACTTGAGTGGAAGAGTGGAAAAATCATTAGCATCTAGACAACTGGATTCTTGGTCCTGCTCAGATGTGGGACCCTGGGCTTGTCTATTCTCCCTGAGCCTGTTTCCTCATCTATAAGATGAGGGAGACCAGCTTCGGTTTGACTGGATCTAAAAGAATAAAGACCCACCTCGCTACCCTAGGAAAAGGGTCTTGCCAGACTCCTCAATTCATCAAAGCAACCCTTGGGGTCTCACATATGCTTCAGAAACTTGTTACAGCCCATCTACGGAAAGACTGATGCCTACACTTGCATCTTTAAGGCAATATGTTTATAACAAATAGGATTTTAAGGAACCAACAATAAAAGCTTTATCCCACCTACCACAAGCTCCCGCTTTTCTTCACAATCAAAGTATTTTAATCTTCTAAGACACACTATAAACCTTGAGGAAAGAAAGGCATGAGAGGGTCACAGGAATGAACTGTCAGGCAAACTAGGTGAGCAGAATGGAATTTTTCTCCTTCTGTTTACGTGACAGTCTGAGGTCCTTTTTAATAACATTCAGTTATTTCACAAAAGCCATTTTCTTTTTTTCTCCACTCCAAAGTCCCACCTGCCCCCCAACCTGGTGGTCTTAATTGAGATTGCCTTTGGAATAAGAACCCTGTTTTCAAAGTACCAGCACAAGTCACTATTAAGAGGCAGGAGCCTCTAAAGGCAGTACCAACCAGATTCAGGTCCCCAACACCAAGTTCACTCAAATGTAGCCAACATAATTACCCACTCAATAATGGACCATAAAAATTCCACATCATTTATATTGTGGCTTTTTAAAAAACATATTTACCCTTCTGCTTTATCTCTTTCAGTAGAAAGCACTTCTGGTTTTGTTATTTACTGAACTGGTACTACTGAAGTCAGAGCAAGAACATTCCCTTCAGAGTAGGTGAGCTATCTTGTGGGAGAGTTGAGAGGCTCAGTAGAATAAATCTGGGTTTTCTGCCTTACAGAGTCATCAAAGCAAAGCTTTTAAAGCTTCGATGGCCCACAAATTACTTACAACAGCTTCACTGTTTTCTTTAGTTTCTTAGTTGTCTGGTTGGTTAAAATAACCACATTATTAAGAGTAATAATAATCAAAAGTGGCATTGATAGAGCCTACTTTACATCTATTATCTCATTTTCAACAAGGACTCACATTTATACAGATGTCAAGTGTTACAAAGTTTTTTACTCTAGCCACATTAATGAAAGAAGCAAGCTAATATGATGGAAAGAGCACAGGACCTAGCCTGAAGTCCAGTGTGGATAGATACCAGCCGGGTGATCTCTGGCTCTCGTGAGAAAAGGGTCCCCCCAATCTTAAATGGGAATCATGATTAGCTGCATCAGATCAGCGGGCCCATTATGCAAATGAGAACAGGGGGCTCCCCAGAGGTCTGATGCCAGTGCCTGAGCCGAGCCCCACGGCATCACAAACGCCTTTCAAAACGTGCTGGCACTTTGGTTGGTTCTGAGTAGCTCAACGTAGTTTTTCACACCTAGGTGGGGAGCGTTTGGCCATTGGAAAATTAGAAACATTGGGCCATTTGCAGTCTTATCTTCAAATGACCAGATTTTTACACACAGGCCAAACCCCATTCTTGTTAGTCAGCAGTATAATCCCTGCAGCAACATGCACACAGAAAGCACTGAAGATCCCAAGATTTTTCAAAAGATGTCCCTTCAGGTGACAGCTTCCAAAAGCCGTTATTATTTTTACCCTTTCTTTTCGGGATTCATATTTTCTTCAATATATAATATACTCGCTTTCTTATCCTTCCGCTTTATACTTTTTACCTGTAGACAAATTCAAGAAAAAAAAGATGTTTTTGTTTTTAGAAAATTATGTAAGCATTTTCTATATTATCCCACTAAACTTTATAGAAGACCATGTGACATAAAGAAAATACAAGAGGCATTGTCTACATTAAGAATAATCTCATCCACAAATTTAGTAAAAATACATTTTAAATATAAGAAAGAGTTTTACACATTTTCCCCCTAATTACAAAGAGATATATGCCTAGCTGAACTCCTGAGGCTGGTCTCATGTATCAGTAAACACAAATCCCTAACCCTCTAAAATATTTTCTTCAACTAGCCTCCCAAGTTCCCCTGCTACTCATTCCCTCAGGCTAAGGAACTGAAGGATGATAAATGTAAATGTTATGGGTAACACATTAGCCATTAACACAAGCATTCTGGTTACACCAACTTGCCAGTCCTTAAGCAGGACTTTGTGGGAATGAGATGGAATAGAGTTAAGTTCTGGTAAGAAAAAGAGGCCTGCCCAGGAACACAGGTCTCGGTCCTTCACAGTAGGGGACTTTGGGCATCATAAGCCAGGACTAGGTGCCTGGTATTCTTAGCATCTTCTAAGACCAACAAAAGGTCTAGTCTGTAGCAAGAGCAAGAGATCACAGAGGGATAGTCTGAGTTTTGCATCATTATCTCCACATAATAAAAAGAGCCAAAGGAAGGTCTCCAGAATCTCCACCATGTAGGATTTTTGGACAAAAATGCTCAAGATGAGGTTTGAATGAATTCAGATCAGTGGAGAAAGGGCTCACATTAAACAAGGTTGCAATCTATCTAAATCAACAGTCAATACACATTAAGGGCCTACTGTGGGCTAGCTACGGTGCTAAAGCCCTGGTGATACAAAGAAAAGCAAAAGGTAGTCCCTACTCTCACGGAGCTTACAATCTAAAGGGATAGACAGCACGAAAACAACTAAGTACAAACAAAATATATACGAGGTCAATTGGGAAAAGGATCAAAATAAGATGCCTGGTGAAGAAGGGGGGGTTAAAGAAGGCTGGAAGAAAAGAGAGAGCCTAGTGCCCAAAACAAACTTCACTTACTTCACAATTGCCTTGACACCCTGAAATCTTCCTAATTTCATGCCATATTAATCAGTTGTAATCTTAATAATCGATCGTAATAGCTACTTTAGGCTTTTCCCTCCTCTCTCTATTTTCCCTTAGTCCTTTTGGCAACAGGGAACAAAAGTCTCAAGGGAAGTATTTTTTCCTTGGCACCTGACAAAGCTAAATCTCCTAGGGAATAAATTCTAATTATTTTGAAGAATTAACCTAGTACTACTCTGAGGTCTTGCTTAATCAAGGCACTGATGTGTTTTTAAAGGAACAAGGTAGTAAGCAGCCCTCAGCAGAGACAGTGTCTTGTGCTGTGATGAAGCTTCTTAAACTCAGCAAGGCTACACTACACTAAATCTTTCTGAGAAGACAAAAAATCAAGTGAGGGTGATATAAATAGAGGAGATATACGAAAAGAGGGGGGGGAAGGCAGGGAGAGAGATAAACAAAGGTATGCAAAGTTGAGTAAGGTTCATTGACCAAGATGCACACTCAAGGAAAAGAGTAACATTTTAACAGGAAAATGGCTCATAGAGGGTGCTTTACATTGCTCTGCCTAGAAGGACAAGAAGCCTCAGAGTTGAAATATTTCACATATCCATAGCTCTTCGTAGCAATGTTGAAATCCAGGAGGACAACAAAACAGCAGGTCTAAAATTCTGATTCCACAATTATTTTTACTACAGAGTTGCTTTAATTATTCCAAAGAATGATTAAAGATCAGAGGAGAAAGAACATTTTGAAACCAACTCTTCAAAATTTTAAAACCATTTGAAGACATACTGAAAATCACTATAAGCTCCAAAACAATTGAGGGTAGGAGGAGAAAAGGGAATAAATAGCAGAAGTTCAAGCATACAGTAAAAGATACTGATTCTACACTTAATTCAACTAGGATCGATGATGAATTAACATGTCACATAAGGTAAGTGGGACCAACTGGGAGAAAATTCAGTTGAAAATATGCACTATTAAATAAGGTTCGGTTTTATTAAAGTTTTTTCCAAGGCAAGCAAGATTCTGCTAGGCTTGCTTTAATCGATACAAAAAAAGAATCTGGGATTAGATTCCACCAGTTAAATGACTCCCTGTAATCCTATTTACAATTTTCTTATAAAATCATCCATAGAGATACGACAAAAGTAAACTTTTACACAAGCCAGGTCAGGTTAGCATAATTTTCAGAAGAATGGAGCCCAAATTAATGAAGTTTTATTCAAAAGACAGATATGGTTATTCTTACCACTGCTGGCCAGTAGGGATATTTTTGATATTTACACCAGACTAACATTCCAGCTTCTATGGAACATGGCTCTGAAGCATAAAGAAATACAAGAAAAATTGTCAGATAATGGTCTAAAGGTATCAGACAAGTGCAAAGGGACAAGAATATGTCACATAGTATATTCCTCCAGATCATTTAAAATGTAGTAGGTAAAACTACCATGTAAATGGAAAGAACAAAAAAAATTAACCAGAATACTGTATAATGAAAATGATTAAGCCTGCCCCAGGGAAGAGATAAAGAAATGCACCTCTCTCCTTTTGCAGAGATGGGAGGAACCCTATGGAGATAAAGTACCACATATACACTGTCCAACTCAGGTGACAGGCTGGCCAGCTTTGCTGAACTGCTTTTTCTCCCTCTTTTTAAAAATTCTTTGTTAGAAGGGATGGTTCACTGGATGAAAAAGGAGGATATATTCAGAAATAAAGGTGTTAGGAAAACAAATGATACCAATAAAATTTTTAAATTAAAAAATCAAGTATAAAATTAATTATTAACCTATTGTCAGTGAATGAAGCCAAGGAACTATCAATGAATGGTTCGGAGAACTTGGTTCTGTTTGCTTCTAGTGCTTGGTGACCTGGATTATATCCTCAACTACTTAATTCCCTCCTGGATTGATGGGCTGTCTCTCTGGGTGTCTGGCTTCTTTTAGCCGTTTTCTCTCCCACTGAAGATAGATTTCTTCTGGGTGTAAGCTGGAGCATAATGGACTTAAATTACATAAAAAGAACAAACTCCTAGGAGCAAGGGCTGAATGGCCTGCCAGCGGTAACTGTGGAATTTCTTTCTTCCTTAGAGACTCTCAGAAATAAAATTAGCAGCTATTAGGAGATGAAAACCTAAGTGCACATCTGTATAAAATTTAGTGAATGACTAGATGACCTTTCAAAATCCTTTACAGTTCCAGGATGCTACTAAGGGAACAAATTAACAAGGAAGAGGCACCTGCCTTTAGTCCAAGGTGTTAGAAATAGTTTTATGTCATCATCCAATCCACTTTAAAGTTCCCATGCTTTTATTTTCAACTGATCTAATTATTCTTACCAGGGTGTGAAAGTATACTTGGAAGTTCTTCATCTTCCTCCTCTTCGTCTACCATGGTGGTATTAACAGTACTAAACTCCAATGACCACTCTGAAGCCTGAAGTTCTACAAATAAAGGCAGATTACAACTTCATTTTGCTATACCGGAAGACATATTTTGAAGATCAGTTGCGGAGTCGTTTCAATCACGTCCAACTCTCCACCAACCTCTGTGGGGTTTTCTTGGCAGAGATACTGGAGTGGCTTGCCATTTCCTTCCAGCTCATTTCACAGACGAGGAAACTAAGGCAAACAGGGTGAAGTGACTTGCCAGGGTCACACAGCTAGTAAGTATCTGAGGCCAGATGATGAGTCTTCCTGTTTCCAGGCTCGACACTATTCACTGTGCCGCCTGAAAAAATACTTGCTGATCCATGACTGTCCATGAAAAAGGAAAGCTTCTCCACTGCACTATCAGTGGCATGACATTGCGGGAATGTGCTGAATTCAAAGTCAGAAGGCTCCCGCCTCAAACCTTACTAGCCAAGGGACCACTGGCAAATTACTTTGTTCCCTCAGAGCTTCATTTCCTTCATCTCTAAGACAGGAAAATCATACTTCCATCATCTATTTCATGCATTTTGTAGGGAAAGTGTTCTCTGCACTTTAAATTTCTACATATATTGTGAACTTCTACTCTCAGGGTCAAACAAAATGAATGATAGTAAAAAAAGTCAATATACTATGGCTTACTCCTATCTGTATCAAAAAGCAGTTTTAGGTATCAAAATACTAACAACCACAAATGAAATTTTTAATTGCAAAGCATTCTCTAGACATGATATTGAGCCTGCCAACAGCCCTGGGAGGCATGTATTTCTGTGCTGACACGGGTGTAATTTCACTGGTATTGCTGGATCAACACTATGCATGCTAACTATGCATGTGCCTCCCCTGTTCGAGATCTAGCCAGTCCCACATCACCAGCTACCCAGTAGATACTTAGAACTGAAATGTCTCCTGGGCATCTCGAACTCAACACATTCAAAATGAAACTCGTATTTTCCTTCAAACCCACTCCTCTCTTCAAACTTACTTCTTGCTTTCAAGGGCACCACCATCCTCTCAGTCACTCAAGTTCCTAACTGTGGTGCTATCTTCAACTCTTCCTGTTCCATCATCCCACATATGCAGTCAGTTGCCAAATGTTGTCATGCTTCCTTCTCTCTACTCGGAGGAGTTCAGGTCATCATCACCTCTTTTTTGGAGGAGGCCTCCCTGCCTAAAGTTTATTCTCAATTCAGTCTATGCCTCCAGAAGGCCGGGCCAAGTGATTTTTCTAAGGCACAGGTCTGACCACGTCAGTCACCCCACACACTCAAACACCAGTGCTTCCTTCTATATAGCCTCCGGGACATTTTAAGCTCCTCATAACCTGGCCCCATCCTACCTTTCAGGCATTATTTACACATTATTGCCCCACTCCACATATTCTACGATGCAGCTAAAATGCTCTTCTTGCCAATTGTCACATACAGGACACTCCCGTCTCCCATTGTAAGGCAACTAGGTAGTGAAGTAGCTAGAGCACTGGATTTGGACCCCCAAAGACCTGAGTTCAAATCCAGCCTCAGACACTTAGTAGCTGTGGGACCCTGGGAATGTCACTTAACCTTTGATTCAGTTTCCTCATTTGTAAAATGGGGATGTTAACAGCACCTACTTCTCAGGGTTGCAGTGAGGAGCCAATGAGATAATATTTACAGAAGCAAAGTGCCTAGCACAAAGCAGGTGCTTAACAAATGCTTATTCCCTCCCATCCCATCTCGGCCTAAAACTGACCCCCTCCTTTACCTCTGTCTCTTAGAATCCCATGTTTTATTTTAATACCTAAGCTCCAACTTCTACAAGAGGTCTTTCCTGGTCCTGCCAAGTGTTATCTGGTACTTGATCTGTAGATAACCATGAAAAGCACCTTGTCTCTCCTCCTTCAGGAGGGGGCCTTGCTTTCTCTGGGTCCCTAGTGTCCGGTACATAGTAGATATTTGCTTATTGATCACGGGGGACACTCCCATTTAGGAAAATCCCTTACAATGGAGTCTTTGAGAACTGCCCAAGATTCCACAGCCAGCATGTTAGAGGCCAACTCTTAATCCAGCAAGCCAAGGTATGTGCTACAGGAGTCATTACCCCACTCACTTAATGAACAAACATTTATTAAGCAGCCACTACGTGCCAGGAACTGTGCTGAGAACTGAAGACACAGACAGAAGAGAAACAGCCTCTACTCTCCATGAGCTTACTTTCTAATGGAGGAGACAACATGCACGCACAGACATACCTATATCACATATGTGTCTATACGCACACAAACACGAGATAAATGCAAATCCAACAGAAGGTAACCTTGGAGGGGAGCCGGCGAGCAGCTGGGGGAACTAGAGGAGAGTCGTCATGGAGGCAGCATTTGGATTAAGTTCTGAAGGAAACTAAGGCAGGAGTGGGAAGTGAGGAAGGATGGCATTCTAGGCAGAGGGGACTGCTAGTACCCAGCCCAGAGACAGCAGGTGAAGCACTGAATTTGTATATGGAACAGCAAGGAGGCCAAATGGCATACGCAGAGTCACAATGGGCTAAGCAGCCTGGAAAGGTAAGAAAGGACCAGGCTACGCCCATCAACAAGCGTCTATTAAACACTAACTCTGGGCCAATACTTCAAGGCTCTTTAAAGACAGTGTATATTTGAACCCAAAGCCAGGAAAACCTAGGTTCATATTCCGCTTCTGGCACATTCTGGCTGTGATCCTGGACAAGTCACTTGACTGTTCAGTGTTCTAAGCAACTCTCTAAGACTCTAAGTTGCAGAGAAGATGCTGACACTGCACTGATGGAGGGAGTTTTTTCACTTAGGAGCTCCCTATACCTGTGAAATCAAAAGGAGGCTACTTAACAGTCCAAGAGAGGTGAGGAGGGCTTTAATTAGGGTTGTGGTCACATGACTGGAAAAAAAGGGCATGTGTACAAGATGTGAAGAAAAAAAATGACAAGATTCAGCAACTCACTGGGTCTGTGGGACGAGTGACAGTAAGAAGTTGAGGATGACACTGACGCCGTGAACCCAAGTCACTGGAAGGACGCTGATGCCTTCAGTAGCGATACAGATGCTCAGAAGTAGGGTGGATGTGGGGAAAAGATAATGAGTTCCCTTTTGGACATGAATTGTCTATAGGGCATCCAGTTCAAAATGTCTAAAAGGCAACTGAGGAAACTGAGGCTCAGAATGCTTAAATGACTTGACCATGGTCACACACCTAGTGTCAGGTGCAATTTGAACTTCCTAAATCCAGCATGCTCTATTCACGATAAAGCAGCAGCACATAAATCAATAGTCAGCAATAATCTAGAGAGACACACCTTAAAACAAAAAGCCTTTGCCAGTATTATTTCACAAGTATACATTCTGAGGCCTACCCTACCTGCAAGCTCAATCCACACCACGTCCCCTAACTCTATGCATCCGACTCCCACTTCTAGATATATCCAGCCCCAGTGTTTTCCCTGAGTGCTTATCAGCTAATTCCTAGAGACAAATCTAACTCAGTCTGAGGACCCAATGAAAGCCTTTGTTCTTCATTTGGATTGCTAAGAATAACAGAGAGATGTTCAGTATTTTCACCACTAAGCCATGTTTTTTTATCAGTAGTAGCCCCATTCACAACAAAGAGGTTATCAGATGAGCTGTTCCACCTAGGTGAAACAGAATTTTAAAACTCTTGAGGTCCCATACCCACAAATTCAAAGTCACTGGCCACTCCAAGCCTCAAAGTAGGGGGAAGGGGAATTGGGTTTCTGAACTCCTCAGGCTTAAGCTCTAATCAACTACCTACTCCCTTCAACACGAAATCCAAGGGCTCAGTGCTTTTTAAAGGACCACAGAAACTGATGTGTAATGGACCTCAAAAAACATCAAGTTCAAGTATCACATGTTCCCGAAGAAGAAACTGAGGCCCCAGGAGGTGACAGTAAGTGTCAGAGGCAGTATCTGTACCCAAGTCCCCTGGCTCCAGTCAGTGCTCTTTCCACTTGGCTGTGCTAGACCCCTTTTCCCATTGTTCTTTCCTCTGGGGAGACTGAAAAACCTTCCCCAGATATGGGAAACAGATTTTCTGAGAAGAGGGACTGACCAAAACAACGTCCACTCATCTGCCAATTTTTATCCTAGCTAATCTTGAAATAGATGTGAGGAAATTTCTGGGGAGGAAGAGACATCTCCTTTTTCACGAAGGTGCTAGTTATTTGTTTCTTATCCTCGAGTCAGTCACCCCCATCTCATTCTGTTGGCTGCTAGCCATAAATCTCATGGCTGCCTTTGATAACTTCATATACCAGGTCTCCTCTCCTCAAGTCTTGTTTTATGCCCAACCCACAAGGCTCAACTGGTCTCAGGTGTCTAGTCTGAATTTTGGCCATCCAGGAAAATTTCACTATGCTATAAAACTAACTGTCCCCTGAGTTTGTTTCACGTAAAGTCCTATTTTCCAGAAATCAATGCATGACCTTGAGGGAGGATGAGATACCCTGTAGTTATTATGTGAGAAAATAACGTTGGTCTAGGCATGCTTTATCTACCTACTATCTCTGGCATTCTTTGCTGTAGTGAAAAGGACATGACTCTGAAATCAGAGGACTTGGGTTCAAATTCTACCTTTGATACTTTCAACCTGTGTGACCTTGGGTAAGTCACAACTGCTCTGGGCTTCATTTTTCCCCCTGTATAACATGAGAAATGGGCTATAAGGTCCCTTCTACCTCTAAATCTATGATCTCATGGTTCCAGGTGTGATATACCAAGCTCTAAAGTGCTTACCTATAAAGCAATATTCAACTGTAGGGCCATGATATCGTGGCTCTGTTCTTCAGAAAATGGTGGAATGAATGAAAATGGAATGTATATTACCTAGATCACAGATGTCAAATACAAGGCCCTGAGTGCTGCCCCAGCCAGATTAAAATGTAATGGGAAATACCTAACAAAATAAATAAAAAATACAATAAAAATATAGATAACATTACATTAAAAAAAAAAAGTCAGTTTGCAGCTTTGCAGGGATCCTTATGGAGTGATTCACGGTTCCCATTTCCATTTGAACTTGACACCAATGACCTAGATCACCATCTCCCAAATGCCAGTACCAGGCCAATGTTTTCCAGTCCACAAGTTACTATGAAAAATCTCCACTTCTTAAAACCTCTACACTACTGGCCTCCTTACCTCTGATCATCTCTTCCCTGATCTTAGGATTTAGAGTTAGAAGGGACCTTGATCTCCTAGTCACACCCCTTTATTTTTAAAGGGGAGAAATGGAAGCCCAGAGGGCCTTTGCCCAAAGGGACAAAAAGAACTGGACTTCACCCAGAGTCACCCGGGTGGACTGGGAGAGCCACGATTTAAATTCAGATTCGATGACTCCCAATTCCTCTCTCTGCCCCTACCAGACCATGCTGCCTTATTATGTTGGAGAACAGCCCATAGTAGAAAATTTAGATATCTTTACAGGTCTACAGTATAGTCTTGGTTGTGAAACCGCGGTTCAAAAGATAAGAGCAGGAAAGGAGCATAATCAGAAATCACCTAGTCTAACCCCTTCCCTTTACAAATGAGAAAAATGAGGCCCATTTTAGTGAATCTATAAATAGTTCAACAAAGACAAAAACTATTAAATGTGATGTTTTTTTCCTCCTGAAGCATTTAACTATATAGTCAGATGTTACAACTAGCTTTAAGACTAGGATGCTTAACAAGCCACGCGGTCACGGTGCCACAGAATCCAACCCACACCTGAACAAGCTTTTTAGATCTATTATTCAAAAATAATCACCTTTTAAGAAGTGGGTAAATCATTCCTCAGGTCTCTGTTATGCTTAGTTGATGAAAAAAAAAGTCACATTCACCAATGGCAAGGGAAAGGAACAATTCTAAATAAGATAAATGCACTATAACAACTATTCACTGTAACATCTAATCACAAAGCATACAATCAATAAATCTGGTATCTTTCCCCTCTCCTCTTTTAAATCATATCAATGATTTCCCTTATTCCTGTTCCTCTATTCCTCCCTCTCCCCCCCAAAAAAAGAGTACTGGGAAAATACTGTATTACAAAGCAGAAGCAACATACCCCACTGAACTAAGGACATAATAAAGAATTAAAAATCTTAACGCAAACCCACTTTTACTATTAGTCTGACGGACACCGGGCCACTTTTAGTGGCCAAAATGAATGGTGCCAACTTCTAAAATGAATGGCTATTAGCAATTAAGAATGAGCATTGGATTTAAGAGTTTCTGATACCCACCCACCTTGCCCCACAGGTACAGATCTCCTTACAGGAATTACACACTATCTGAAATCACGTATAAGTCAAACTTCCCCAGTCATAAGCTTTTACCTTCTTCATCTTCCTCAAAATCTGGAAGCTTAAGAGCTCTCGATTTAGGTGCAAAACAGCTTGGGTCAGATCCACTGGTGCACAGCCCTGTTCCTTCTGGCTCCACACAACAGCATTCAGAAACTGATGACTGTTTAATGCCACCTAAAACTTTGCAGCACTTCTGTGAAGGCATTCTGCCATGTTCATTTGCACACTCTGATTTCACAAAGGAAAGGCTGGTAGAAAAGTCCAATGCTTTTTGGACAGCACTACTTGCCTTTTCTTCCAAAGTGACCAACTGGATGGAACTACTAGACAAAACTGGACTGAGTTCTCCAAGCTCAGTATCTGTACCATTACATCCTCTGGCTTTAAAAGGTGATGAATTCCTGTGCGAGGTCCGTGGCTTATTCCTGCCTTTTTTCCTATTATCCTTTACTTCAAGTTTCTTCTTAAGGTTCCGTTGTGAGTTTTGTGATGAATCATTTTTCTTTTGTTTCTGGTTTTTCCAAGTTCTGGACCGTGACTTAGAAATCTCACAATTCTGATGCTGTTGCTTTCGAGTGCCAAAAATATTTCTTGTTTGAGAAGCCAAGGGCTCTGTTTCATTACTATAAATTCTATTAGACTTCTTTAAACCCTTTTTGAATTTATTTTCTTCAATGGGGGAACTGGACAGCCTCTGTAGTACATTTTCTTTCTTAAAGGGCCCAGACCCTCCTACTATTTCTTCACAGACAAAAGGTGACGAGTCAGATTCAGAGACAGCGTGTGCAGGTCTTGTTTGTTTCACTTTTCGAAGTATGGGAGTAGTTAGACTTTCGTCCAAACAGTTTACTTGACTAGCATCTGCTTTCTGACTCAAAATATCCAGGGCAACTTTAAGTGATCGTCTGTAAATCAGTTCTTCGATAGGTGTAGTTTTTATTTTAACTTGAGTACCTAAAAATATGTAAAATAATCAACACTGTAATTTTTGCTGAAAACATAAACATTTTTATGATGGCCATCACACAGTGATGGTTTACAAGCATAGGGAAACTGGTGATTCAGACTATAGGCTGAATGTAATTTAAAAAAAAAATTAACGCATAAGTGTTTAGAGAACTGACATACCCAAACCTTATTTTTAAATAAACAAATTATTAATCTGACTTGGATAAAAATGTACATTTCTTCAAACTACAACCGATAACCACAAAATGTATTCAAGCATTTAATGCCTACTGAACAGAAAACGATGCTGATAATTTATTCTCAATATTTGTGCAAACCGATAAAAAATATTTTTTGGACAGGTAATATTTTGTCCTTTTCAAGACTATTTTTAAAGACATTAAAAAAAATAGAATAGTAACCTTGGAAGTGGTCCCACTGATTGTGGCTTGCTTTTTTTTTTTTAAGTCCGGACAGGGCTATTTACGCTAACAAGATGATTCAAACATCGATCAAAACATTTCCCCCTCGTTTTAATATTTAATTGTCCAGAAATACAAGTTACCAATAATATGCTGGGCCCTTCAGAGACCATATTCTAGGGGTAATGACAGACATAACTACCTATTATATACAGGTTTATCTATGCCATAGAAAATGTGTAAACAGAATCTTGGTAGACAACTCCATTTTCTAGGCAGTTTCCTTTTTAAAGAAGTCCAATGCTTAATAATCTGGCAAAGCAAAGCATCCTTCGTAAAATGAATAATCATCCCTTATTTGTCTGTGTGCAAATTCTGATTTCATACCTGGTTTGCTTAAAGCAGGATACATCTGTGTAAGCATGTTGCTATTGTATATGTTCTCACGCAGTGTATCTGACCTTTCTACCCCACGAGACTGTTAAATCCTCATGGGGGTGGGGGTGGGAACACTTTGTTTTCTCTTTAACTACCCCTAGTGCCTAATACTGTGTTCTGAAAATAGTTGATAAACAATGATGGTGACTAAACAACATATATTGTTCTCCTTGCCATATAGTTTGACCCATTTCTTATTGCACTACGATCGATAAATACAGCTTAAAATTTTTTGCCCAAATTAACCTACGAGATTTGTGACCAGGAGTCACATGATCAATTTTCATACATGTCCTATGGGCGTTCTGAAAAACATGTATTTCCTTTCTTTTATGTCCAGCTCATTATTCTGTCTATAAAATCCAGTTTCAACACTAAGAACCTGGAGTCTAACTTCTTTCTTTTGTCTGACTTACAATTCAGTGAGGTGTTGAAATTTCCCACTGTTGTTGATTTTTTATTTTTGTAAATGAGGAAGTTTTTCCTTAATAAATTCAAAAACTATGCTGTTGACATTTATACACTTTCATTATCAATGTTACTTTAACACTGTTTCTTTCACCTAAGAATTTTTTTGAAAATACTTAAAAAACACTGGTAGATTCTCCAGCCTGAAGAGCAGTGACCAGGAGAGATTTAGCCCACAGCAGCTGCCTTAAATTTTTGGAATCTGAGCAGGGCAAAGGAAGAAGTCTACACATATAACGAGACAACCATCTGCACCCCCAGAGACTCCAGAGGTTGATCACTGGGCACACTAACAACCTTCTCCCTTAGAGCAGAGTTGAAGCTGGGCTCCAGCAGAAAGCATGGGAGGAAGGAAGGGCTGGGGCAAGGACCCTCTAGCTCTTCTCCTCTGAGCTCAGGAAATTCAAGACTGTGATTAACTTGTTTTCAGCACCAAATTTTTACAATTCTTCCAAATAGGAATCTCTTATTTCATTAAAATTACACATTTACAGCAACATAGCCTCTTACTAAATTCTGCAGCAATGTCCTCTATCTGAGACTTCTCTAGAATCCTGGTTTCTGTCTTCTTCACTTTAATTCTGCCAAGACAAAAAGTTATATGTTACCTACTATAACCATGAGAACATTTTCAAATAATAACTGATGTGTTTTGTGTTAGGTAGGGGGGTAAATGAGAGAAAATGAAAACATAAGTTCTTATAATCAAAATTCACCCACACATACACACACCTCTTTAAATTTAAATTAAATGTCAGAAACTGGCATTAATGAGCTACAAAGACCTTTACTCCTGGTCTACCTTTTAACAAAGGAAAAGGTATCCTGGCTTCAGAACCAAATAAAAATTCTAATTGGTTTATCTGAGGTAAATCTTATTTAGAACTTCCTCACAGATAATGTTTGTGATATCACCTTTTCTAAAAAGGATGCTAACAAAGAAATCATCTATTTATAGCCCAGCAGGAGCTACAAGAAAGGATTGGTGTTCCCTCCTTTTAAACTAAAATACAGGTATACCCCACTCAGTGTTAGGGAGGGAAGCAATTAAGTGTTCCATAAGAATAAAGTTATAAATGGGAAATTGGCTGAAGCTCATCAGGGGCTTGCCACTTTACAGCAAGATCAGGGACCCTCACAGATAGTTCATTTACAGATGAGGGAGAATATAAAGTCCCCAAGAGCTTAATAATCATACCCAAAGTCTCTCAGGTAGCAAGAGACAACTGGGATGTGAAAATCTAGCACTCTTCCCAACACACAATGTATCAGAATGCTTCTGTGAAACTACGTTGGGTGATATCTAACAGTATTCAATTATCTCCCTCTGTCCTGAAAATCTGAGCTGGAAAGCTAGGGAGCTTACAGAGTAGGAAAGGCAGCCTAGCTTAGCTTGATACATAAGAAGCATCCCCAGGATACAGTAACACGGCTTTTCACCGCCCTCAAATTGTAGACATTTTTTTTGTTGTTTAAAGTCTTGTAAATTATTGGATCTGCCTACAACTTTGTTTATGCATTCCACATTCCAATATGGATATTTTCATCCCTTAAATGAGAATAGATGTAAAGTGCTTTATAAACTAGCACTATATAAATGTTAGCTATCGTTATTACATTTTTCCATTAATAGATATTCAAAAACAGCAGATGATGATTTAAAGCTGCCCTGTAAGCTGAAGTTTATTACAAACATTAAATTGCAGTTTCTTATTTTGTAACAGATTTAAACCTTTCAAGGGAGTAGACAAAACAGATTTGTGAAAATAAGCGTACTTCTTCCAAAACTGAGAACACCATTTATTTCAGATAAGTTTTATCCGAAGGTAATTTTTATTTGATTTCTCTGGTGATGTTCCACTGGATAACACAAAAGGCCTTCTGTACAGAACATACCTATTTTCTCTAGTGATTCTTAGCCAAAGTGACATCAGGTTCTTTTGGTTTTTGGGGGGGGTTGTGCATATCAGATTTTAAACAAAAGCCACACCTGTAGGAAAAGAAGCAATACTTAACTTTTCATCTAGACTCAGTATTTCAACTTCTAAAAAGGCTGCTTTCCTTTTCCGAATATGTTGTCTTCTGGAGATTCCAGTTTGAGACAAAACCTAAGTTTAAAAAAAAAAGGCAATTGTTATCAGTCTGTTTCTGAGAAGACAAACGGTTCCCAAAAACAGAGATTACAATAAGGTCACGTGAAACAAACAAAAAAAAACAGCAAGAAGGAAAAAAAAATCTTCCTGTCCCCAAGACACTGTTTAAGGTTATTTCCTCATGAATTATAATCCTAGCTCACTGAGCCCTCACACAGCTGTATCAGTTCACTTAAATATGTATGCAGAATGCAAGATTTTGGAATGGTGCCCTGAAGCCGTTTGGGACAAGCTTACCAATAAGAACTTTATGCCAACGTTTTCATGGAGACAAACTGTAGAGCTCAATCATTTTGCTAAACTGCATCTTAAGCACCCTTTTTAACAGCTGATGGAGGCATTAAGTGTCACCAGAAAGTCATCTTTAATTCCTGAAATTATGAAAACAGTAACAGCTTTGTCACCTTTGCTGGCCATAAACGCTCTCTCCATCTGCAGAGGACATACTGAGTATCCATCGTGATGAAAACGCACGTGGAAAGTAGGGTTGAACTACTTCAAGGTCTGAGGACCGCAACCTGCAACAAAAGTGACAGGAAAGCTGTAAAGTCTTTTTGCCACTGGTTTAATGATGACATACTAGCCAAGGGCAAAGGTTGGTTCAATTGGATAATCATTTCCGTGGTAATTCTGAGATATTCAATACAAAAGCTAAGACTAGAAAAGCAAACTAACTTCTGATACCTGGATAGGTTTTGTCTTAATTAAAAAAAGAAAAAAAAGTGAGATCTGGCTTCTGAATAAAATACCTCTGGCTTCTGAATAAAATACCTCAGTTTGAAGGCGAGCACTACAAAACTGCCCAGTGAATCCACGAAGGTTTTAGTCTTCCACGATTAGAGGCTAACATGTTAATAAACAGAAAATATAAATAAGGCACGTTAACTGGGATCTCACCAAGACTTTCACAACTGCAGTCTGTTCATTGTCTCTGCATGAAATCCTGGCTGTGGTTAGCCTGGAAATGAAGCAACTCTTTTTCTCTAAAAAAAAAAAAGGGGGGGGTTGTAAGGTAGGAAACAAATACACGCTTACAGTTTCCAGCTCCAAAGTCTGAGGAGGGAAATGTTTACAGCAAGCTACTTTTCGGGTGCTTGAACGAACTGAAGTATTTTCTGCCCCCACCCCCCAATTCCTACAACAGGAACTTTTAAGATCAGTTATTACGAACCCCATCCTCCCGGCAAAAGGAAGCTGGGGCCTCCCACTTTGACAATTTCTTTTACTTTCTTCAACTATTTAACGCAAAGCAACCTCAGGTCATTTTCCCCTCTCTGGGCCTCAGTTTTCTCATCTGCAAAATGAGGGGGCCGGATCCGTAGGATGTTCCGGCTGACAGACCACCACCCCCTCCCGTCTGGGCCTCAGTTTCCCCATTTGTAGGAAGGGGTTGCACGAGATGCCCAGGCGGAAAGGGGCCACCCTCGGCCTCTCCTTCAGCCCAGCGCGGGGGTCCAAGTAGGCCAGCCCTGACTTCTCGAGCCTCTTACCGCGGTGGGCCCCCAGGCACCGGGCTGAGGGGGCAGGACAAGCTGCAGCGCGGGACTCTTCCCGTTCCCGGGCCTCCCAAACACACAGGGGCCCCAGGGCGCATGTGCGAGGGAAGGCGCAGGGGCGTGGCCGACGAGAAGCTAGGCCCGGGAGGGGCCGGGCCAGAGAGGGGCGAGGCCAGGGGAGGGGCGGGGCTGGGGAACAGTGGAGCTCGAGGCCAGCGGAAGGGCGGGGCTGGGGAAGAGAAGAGCTCGTGGTTGTGCTGCTCTCCAATCCCGTACCCCTCACCGTCGCTGGCAAACTGGTCGAACCCGTGCCAATTCCCCCATCTTGCCACTACCCTAGCAACTGTGGGGAAAAGGCGTCGCCCTCTCCTTATGGGAGCGTCACAGACGGTGCCGGGGGCTAGGGGAGTCACTGAGGTTCATAATTAGACGCCATGACATTCGCCCTACCCCCGACCTGAGAGGGGTTGATGGGCCCGGAAATCTGCGCGCTCTCGCTCACCCGAGCACGCGCACACTCTCACCCGCCGTTTGCTGCCACTGGGCGTGGGGGGGGTGCAGTGTCGAACTGCTCCGCCCCGCCCCCTAGGTTTCGTTTCCCGCCAGCCTCGAAGTGAAGCAAACTGGAGGCAGCCACCACCCCTCCCCCACCCCCGCCCTTCCCTCCTCCCTCCTTTTGCCTCCCAGTCTCTTTCTCTCCCTTTTTTCTTTTCCTCCCCTCTCCCTCTCCTTCCCCTCTCTTTTTTCCTCTCCCCCTTCTCTATTCTTTCTCACTTCTTCCAACCTGCTCCTCCTCTCCTCTTCCCAACCTCCCCTCTTTCCTTCTTGCCTCCCTCCTTCTCTTTCCCCCTTTTCCCTTCTTTCTCCTCTCCCCACCTTCCCCTTTCCTCCACCCCTACTCCATTTCCTCCCTGTTTTCCTTCCCCCTCCACCATCTCCTCTTCTTCCTTTAAGTCCCCTCCTTCTAATAGGGAGGAGGGGGCGGGAACCTGGGTTATGCAGGAGTGGCTGCACGAGACCTTTCCCCTCCCCCTTCTTAGCTAGAGAGCAACTGTGGGTGGGAGGCACGTGATCAACTCTCCTCCTACTTATTAGTTTTGGGGGAGCCCGTCTTCTCACCTCCCTCCCCCCATCTTTCCTCTCTGTCTGGCTCTCCCTCTGTCTCTGTCAGTGTCTCTTGTGTCTGTCTCTGTATCTCTTTCCTTTCTGTGATGTTAGCAAATGTTATACACCTGGGCTAGTTGACAGGCCTGACCTTTTCTCCCATATCCCTGGAGTCCCTCATTTTCTCATTCTCCCCCTGCCCGCGGCATACCCGTCCTTCATTGATGTAGATGAAGGGATTCAGAGACCATCTAGTCCAACCTTGAGATTTTATAGATGTGGTAAGAGGCAGAGCCGGGATTCAAACCCGTGTTGTCTGACCACAAATCAGGGAGAGAGCTGAGAACTGAACCCAAGTGTTCGGACTCCCAGGCCAGAGATCAGGGAGGATGAGCCGTGGGAATCTCTCTGGCCCTCCAGTACACCTGAGTTAAAGGGTAAGTGGGACTGAGTAACTCACCTACTCCAGTAGGAATTCCACGGCCTTTTGCACTTTGAATTTCTTGCTAGATTCATAAGAGAAACATATTTATTACCTCAGTCTCAGTCCCCTTAACAAATCCTTAGTCTACTTGGCCCCCTCCTCCGTACCCTCCACTCCACCAGTCCTCAAGCTAAATATCCTGGGTAGTCCAGGAAAGAGGTTTTGGGATTTGGGACCACTCTAGGCTGCCTTTGGAATGTAAAAGTGAGCTTGTTGCACTGAAAAAAAAAGTCGTTGTCAGTAACAAAAGCCTAGCAGCTATTTTATAATGACTTTATTCATCCCCTCCTCTGAAAGATCATCATAGTGCTCTTTTACAGACCTCAAACTGACCATCAGAGAGATGGAGGGACATGGCCAATCGCCAGAATTGCGATTCAAGCCCAAGTCCCCTGACTCCAAATCCAGAGCTTCTTCCATTATAACTGCAAAACACGATCAAAGATCTTCAAATTCAAATCTGAAGCATTTGATGTCCAACCTGGACTCAAGAGTCCTTCGTCCAACCCCCTCATTTTCCAGATGAAAAATAGAGGTTTTGAGAAGGGAAGTCAAAAAGGTAACAGCCAAACTTAGAATCCTGGTATTCTAACTTGTAGTCCGAATTGTTTAACCTCAAGCCACCTCAATTTCCTCATCGATGAATGAGGGAGTTAAATTAGATGGCCTCGAAGATGCCTTGTGCTTTAAAATCCTATGGTCATAGGCTGCTATGTCCAAGACTCGCTTTGCCAATTCAGCTGCTCTCAGCTCCTGCTGAATGCATAATTCACTAAAGGCAAGAGAACTAGGCTGGGGAGTGAGATCTCCATTCCTCTGTTCTGACCCAAGATCACACAGTAAATAGAGTGTGAATTTGAACCCAGGTCTTTTGATTCCAAGTCCTTTCCACTATTCATAGACAATTGTTGCAGCTAGGTTAACATTCAGTAGAAGCCTTGAAGCTTTAGCAACATACCGTTTGGAGGTGGTAACCCTAGAAATTATCCAATCCAAACTTATGTCCTGTATAGTACCCACTGTACTCTGCCCTCAGTCAGACCTCAGATGAAGTATTGTGTTCAGTTCTGGGCACCACAGTTTGAAAATAGATGGATAAGCTGGATAGTGTCCAGAGGGACAGGAAGGACAAGAAGGATGTAGGGAGAGGCCTTGACTTCCTGTCTTATGAGGATTTGTTTAAAGATCTGGGGGCATTTAGTACGCAGAAGAGAAGACTTGATATCTGCCTTCAAGTACTTGAAAGGCTGTCATGTGGAGAAGGGATTAGGTTTGTTCTGTCTGGCCCCAGAGGTCAGATTCCAGAGCCATCTGTGAAAGCAGCAAAGTGGTCAATTTAGGCTTGAGATCAGAAAAAAGCTTTCTACCAGTTGGAGCTGTCCAAAAGTGGAATGGGCCGCCTCAAGAGGTGATGGGTTCTCCCTCCTCGGAGGTCTGCAAGCAGAGGACACTGACCACTTGTCGGGTATGTTACAGTGGGGATTGCTTTTGTGAATAGCTTGAGCTAGGTGGTTGCTGAGGACCCTTTCAGCTCTCAAATTCTGTGATTCTGTTTTGCAGATGAGGAAACTAAGGCCCAGAAAGGGGAAAGAATTGCCCGCTACTTAACCCTTTTCTATTTGGGGGGGACTTAGTGTCATCACTAAGGGCTATTTTTGACATTCTTCTATGATGCCGTTCTCATTTTTCCCTGAACCCAGATAGTTAAGTTATCACATTTTCTCATGCTTTTGAATTTTATCTGGTGAACATAGATGCTAAAATCACCAGGCAGGGTTGTATCTTAATTTTACATTTGTACAACACCTAGTCTATTACTGGCTGTCTGAACCTGTTAAATCAGTTGGTTAGAACATGTTGCTAACAAGGCCAAGGTGAGGTCAAGGTTTCAGGTTGCATCCTCTTGTGGCCTAATTAGGGACTCCAGTGCAATGAAATACTGGTCCAGGTTCCATTTGGAGAATATTTTGATGTTCCGATTTCAATCATTTTGGAAGACACAGTTTCAATTCTCCATCTAACAGTTTCTTTAAGTACCTTTTGCAAAACGAAACAAGCCTTCGGTTTGGTTCATGGTGCAGCAAAGTAAAATAAAAGGAAGGAAAGCGAAATAAATAATGTAGGAAACCCTTTCTATTTCAGACTTCATTTTCAGGCATTCTCCCGTACACTTGGCTAACTCCCGCTCTCCCTGGATCACTTTACTTTTCTATGCACCTAGAACGAGAAACATCTTTGTTCCTTGTAGCATCCACAGATGGCACCTTGACATACATAGAGCAATTCCTAAGTGGAATCATTAGGAAGGAACAAAAAAAAATTTGGTGTACATGTCCTCATCTCAGCCCTGACGATAGGTAATTATCTAAGTTACTTTTTACTACCACCTATAACATGCTTATTTCGTTGCAGATTTCATGAGCATTGGCAGTTTGTATTGCAACGCTTGGTCTTCCTGGCAGCATTTGTTGTGTATTTGGAAACAGAAACACTTGTGACCCGAGAAGCAGTTACAGAAGGGAGTCACTTACTAATCTGGCTTTGAGTCTTTTCTCTAAGGAGGTACCAAGTAGGGAAAACTTCAAAGATAGAGCAAGTGTTTTTGAAAATATCTGTTCTGTTGTGTCACCAGGTTTTTGGACAAACAGAAATGATTTATAGTGTCACGTCTGAGTAGTTTTAATTACAGTTGAATGAGGGTTTTAAGCTTTATTATTTTGGTTTTTTTAGAGGACTTGACATTATTGCAGATGGCGATGGGTAGACTACATATTACTGTCCTGAAGGGAAACTGCTTTCCCGAGGGAAGCCTGTGCCACCTTCAGGAAGAACAATAGAGAAATTGTAATCAATTATTTTAAAATATTTTATCCTTTTTCTCAGAATATTCCAAACATTCTTTCCTCAACTCATCTACTGAACTTCACTGCTTCGACTTTGTATCCTTTCATTGATCTCAGAGAATTTTGTATTCCTTCATTAATCCTCGTGGCTCGTGGCCGGAACACTCACTGCTAGCGCCATCTTCTGAGGCTTTTCTGATCCCCTCCGCCATGAATAGTGTTCCCTCCAAGGTTACCTGGTATCAACTTTGCGTATCCCTATGTATCAATCAAGCAACAAATATTTTACAGTGAAACAACCCCTACTTGAAAGGAGTTTCCATTTTAATTGGGAGAGAATAAGCATTTATTAAGCATCTACAGTGTGATGTGCCAGGTAATGTGCTAATAATAATAATGATGATAGCTAACATTTTTTAGAGCTCTTATTATGTGCAAGGCACTGTGCTAAGCCCTTTACAATTATTATCTCATTTATTTTTCACAAGCCGGGGAGGTAGGTGCTATTATTTTTACAGATGAGAAAACTGAGGCAGACAAAAATTAATTAACTTGCCTAAGGTCACAGAGCTGGTAAGTGTCTAAGGCTGAATTTGAACTCAGTCCCTCCTGACTTCAGGTCCAGCACTCTATCTACTGCACCACTCAGATAACAAGATATATGTGTGTGTGTGTGTGTGTGTGTGTGTGTGTGTGTATGTGTGTATATATATGTATATATTTGTGTGTGTGTGTGTATATATATATATATAGATATATATATATAATATATATATATATAGTTAACATATACAGTTATATACAAAGAAATTAAATATGTTCATTTTCTATCCCTTTACAACATAAACTCCTTAAGGGCAGAGACTATTTAGTTTGGTATCTATCTCCAGTGCCTAATTCTCAAAAGAACTATTAACAACCGTATGAAAGATCGTTCCGATAACTAATAATAACTGAAATAAAAATCTAAACAACCTTGAGATTCTACCTCACATCCCATAAATTTACAGAAAAGCATGGGAAGACTTATATGAAAATATAAAAATATAGTAAGCAGAACCAGGAAAACAATATACATACCAGCTACAACAATGCAAAGGGGGGGGAATCAACAGAAACAACTAAACATTGTCTAATTGGATCAGCCTTGGTCCCAAAGAAGAGATAAGAAAAGGCGCCTCTTGTCCTTCTTTGCAGAGGCACGGGAATATGGGTGCAGAATATTGTGTTTACTGTCAGTCCAGTTTGATGTATTGGTTAGTTTTGCCGAACTGCTTTTTTTTTTCCTCCCCTCTCATGTTCTTTGTTTCTGAGGATAGCTCTGTGGGGAGGGATGGAGGAAGGAATGGGGGAAGGGATATGTATGAAAATGCAGGTGATGTGAAAACAAAAGATATCAATGCAATTTTTTTTCTTAAAATCTCTCCATCTTGTATACCTTCATTAATCTCCTAACTTTGGACTATCCTTCATTGATTTTTGTCTTCTCCAAAGATTGTAAAACTTCCTCCGTGCTCTGACTTGGTTGGGGAAGAGCTTCTCATTCACTTCACTGTTACTCTGTGTCTGTGTTCAAATGTCTCTTCCCCTTTTAACTGCAAGAAATGAAGATGCGCCTTTAAGCAAGTATTGGGTCGATTCTTCAACATGACCAATTTCTGTCCTGGAGGACAGATGATGAAATATAGCCACCTTCCAGGAGTGAGGTGGGGGAATGCCAATGCAAGATGTTACCCATATGGTCAGACTCTGTCTCTGTGTCAGTTAGTTTTGCTTAACTTTTTCTTTTACATAAGAGAGATTTCCATGGGGAAGTGGGACAGTATCTGGAAATGACTGTGATGAAAAAAAAAAGCCAAAAAGTGATATTAGGATTTATTTTTTAAATTTTATGTTTTAGTTTCACCAGCCTTTTGGCATGCATTTAGGGGGAAAGGCATTTCTCTACTGATCTCCATTTCCTTATCTGAAAAATGAGCCAGTTGTACTAGATCTAAGGCTTCTTCTCGGCCTAAGTGTCTGAATGAATGAATTGAGTCAATAAACAAGCATTTATCAAGCACCTATGGGCCAGATACCGTGTTAGGCACCAGGGATACAGATACAATGAATGAAATAATTGCTACTCCCAAAGAGCTTACATTTTTGGGTTGGTAGTTGTCCTTTGTTCTTGAAGAGGACCAAAATGACATTACTATGTTGGGGTCAAGGTACAGTCTGTCTGAATGTGGCTGATCAGACCAATACAGGGGGAAAGGAATGAATGAGGCGGCCAGGGACACCTTGCAAAGAAAGTTTCTGATCAACAAGAAAGATTTCTGGAGGTCTATGATTGATTGCTTACCTGCAGAAACTGTGGGGGAAATATGTCTGTTAAGCCTCAGGAAAAAAAAATAGCGATGCAACCATGTTTGTTTCTCCATAAATATTAAAATAGGCATTCCTTTTTTGGAAATGGTTGCTTGATGAAGCTGCCATTCTCAGCTGTTACAAACAGTTTGGAGTTGTTAGGATGCACCCCAATAAAACCTTTGTTTGTTGAGACGCTTTGCACTTGTTAAAATAAGCAAGGTGTATGACAAACACTCATTAGTGTAGATGCAGCCAAAAAGTGACATTGTTTGTCAGCTGAATATCAAGAAAAATAGTCAGGCAACATAATGATCTCTAATTTTATTTTTCTAAAAGTCTGGCTGTATAAATATCCATAACATTGAAAATGTTAACACTAGGTTGCATTCATAAATAGTGATTAGAACACATTTCAAAAACACACCATTGAAATCGTGGCCGTACACACCCGGTATGTTTCAGGGGGTTGATGTTCACTACCAAGATCACAAGTTTACAGAATAATGTTTTTGACAAGACAAGCTAGCTAGCAATGCCTTTTTTTTTCCTTCTTGTTTCCCTCCTTTGAATCTGTCCATTGTTGTAGGCTGCTGGTATCCTCTTTCACTCCACGGGGACCTAGCCCCCTGTCCTTTAGACCAGCCAAACTCCAGTTGGAATCAGCTAGAGTTTTGCCTTCACAAAGAGGAAAGGATTAGGCCCCACAGTGTTTCCATCCTGTTTTGTCTTTGATTTTTTTTTTAAGCCTTTCATTTTAACTATTAGGCATTTCAGGGCAGAATGCCTACTGTTATCTGCATTTCAAAAAGAATTGCTGGAAGGATTTGTTTTGCTCTCGTCCCCAAGTTCCTTGTTCTTCTCCCAGATGTAGGTGATCTACAACTGTGTTTTGTTAGTTTTCTTCAAGGTCCTATATCAGAGTTTCTTGCATTGTTCCTGACAATAACTTTTCACTTTCCCTAAGACTAGTTCTCTCAGAGATGTTTCCTCAAAACTTCTATATACTCACCTTCTCATAGTTGAGTTCCCCCAAAATGTTGAAGTAATTTCTCTACCTAGCAATGTTCACTACCCAGTCTCTTGGGATCATTCCTAACCGTGTTTCTGTTTGACATAAGACACAGCAAGTTCAAATATGGATTTTGGCTTTTTTTAAGTCCCAAGATGCCTTGGGCTCAACTCGTAGCCAATAATGAACTGAAAATATCCACAGATTTACTGTATACCATTATTATATACACGTGTGTGAACCTAGAGAATCTGGTAATGTGAAGACAAAAGAGTCTGCACCTTACAAGACCTTCCATTCTACTAGGAGGAAAGGATATGTGCAAGATAAATAAAAATACAATGTATACAAAGGTAATATAAATTAATGGCACATGGGGGCTCAGAAATCACAAACTTTTTTTGTTCTGAACTGTGGCCAGGGTGGGGGTGGGGGTGGGGGGTGGAACCTAAGCTAATTCAGTATATCTCCCCTCGGACTCTTTTTGGTGATTAACTAGTTACTTATGTTAACTTCACCTCCATTTTATAGAAAAGACATTGATAGGTTAAAATGTTTCCGGAGGAGGGCAGCTGTCATTATTATGAGCCTCAAGCTCATGCCACAGGAAGACTGGTTAAAGGAACTTGGCATGTTTAGACCATACAAGAGTAGACTTAGGACATATGAAAGAATGCTTCAAATCACTAATAATAAGAGAAATGCCAATCAAAGCAATTGTGAGGCTTCACCTCACCCCCTAAAAATGGACAAGGCAACATAAGATGAGAATAGTGAATGGTGGAGGTGTTGTAGAAAGATAATCCCGCTAATACTGCATTGTTGGTGTAGCTGTGAACTAGTGTAACCACTTGGGAAAGCAATTTGGAATAATGCAAAGAAAGAGGCTAAAATGTCCATATCTTTTGACCCAGAGATTTCAATGCTAGGAACAAACTCTAAGGAGATCATTGATTTAAAAAAATAAAATAAAAAGGCTCCCTATGCACCAAAATATCTTTAGCAACATGTTTTATGGTAGTAAAGGATTGGAAACAAGGTAGATGCCCATTGACTGGGGAATAGATAAACAAATTGTGGTACATGAATGTAATAGAATATTACTGTGCTGTAGGAAATAACATGAATGTAGAAAAGCATGGAAAGACATGAACTGATGCAGAGTGAAATAAGCAGAGTCAAGAAAACAATATACACAATTGACTATAATTTCAATGGAAGGGAAAACAAACAAAAGGTAAACCCAATTGAAAATGTTGCAGAATTACAAAGAACAAACTTGGCCTCAAAGAAAAGATATAAGAAAATGCTTCTCTTCAGTCCTTTGACAAGGTGGGAGGTTCGTGGGTATGGAGCACTGCATGTATTTTCAGATTTTTTTTCAATGTTTTGGTAGGTTTTGCTGATTTTTTTTCCTCTTCATTTAATTTTTTTTTCTTTTAAAAATAAATTATTTGTTATATGGGCTGACTTTCTGAGAGACAAAGGGGAAGAATACAAGGGGAAATTTAGGCAGTGGGAAAACAAAAGATATCAATAAAATATTTTTTTTTTAAAGAACAGAGGAGGAACATTACAGTTGTATTTACATATTTGAAGGGAAGAGAGGATCCATTGGGTTCTGTCTACCCCCAGTGGAGGTAGAACTAGGAAAATGAGTAGAAGTTGTTGAGAGATGAATTTTAGTTTGATGTAGAGGCAAATTTTCCAATAATTAGAGCTATTCCAAAATGGA